CCGGGGTTGGGGACAACTGCTCGCTGGCCTTTTCCCTTCTCTTTGAAGCCTGCTCTGTGCCGGGGGAGACCACACCATCCCCTGCCCCCCAGGCCTGGTCCCTCGGGGCCTGCACTGGCCACCATCCGCACAGAAGGCCTCTCCTACGTGTGGCTATTAACATTTAAATTCATTGAAGATGAATGAAATTTGAAATCCTGTTTCTCGGTCGTGACAGCCACATCCCCAGGGCTCGATGGCACCTGTGGCCCGGGGGCACCACCCTGGACAATGTCCCTCCCTGCAGGTGGCGGTGGTTCGTCTCACCGACGGGCAACAGTACAGGACAGGATTTTAAAAGTCGCCCGAGGGAGGCGCCTGGGGGGGGTGGTGGTGGGTGGGTGGCAGCAGGAGCTAAGCGAGGAGAAGTTCAGGTGCAAGCAGCTGTCCCGAGAGGGGTCCCCGCAGGCTGGCTGGGGCCTCCCCAGCAAAGGGGGCGCAGGCTCATGGGAAGGGCTGAAAGGTGAGACTGGGCAGGCAGGTGGGCATCTGAGCAGGACCCGAGGAGGGTGGGCCGTGGTTCCCTGCAGCTGCTCCTGGCTCTCGTGGTCGCGCCCTGGAGCGGGCGGGGTCCCTGCCCCAAGGAAGCCACAGAGGCCCCTGCATGGCAGGTGGCCTCTCTGTACCCTGCACGCCACCACCCCTCACCGCCGAGAGAAAGCACGGCCAGAGCGAGGCCAGAGTGATGAGTGGATCCTGTGAGAAAGGAAATGAAACTCACGTTTCCCCTGGGAGTGGGGACAAGGAGGACACGCTCTGGGGACGAGGGTGGCAGGTCATTAGCATCAGTTTCCTTGGGAGGATCTCAGGTAGCCCCAGGGACTGCATAACGAGTATGCAAGCCAGCTGGGGGCGGGGGGCAGAGCGCATTGTGCAGGGACTAACCGGCTATTCAGGTTAAAAAACGTGGATTCGTGTCATGACAGCATAACATTTCTGAAAACTGAGAAAAGAAAAAAACTACTTAAAAATCACACAATCCTAACCTATTGGCCTATCTTTCTCTCAGCCTGTGCCGTCCCACACGGTGGTCCCTGTGCTGATTACGTCGGTCTTCACCAATGTTTTGTAAAAGGTACAATCTGGTGTCTGGGTCACGCAGGTTAGGGCTCCCGGCGGCAGGAAGCCGGCGGCCACACCGGAAGGCCGAGACCTGGAGTGTCACCACCGGGTGCCAAGCTGTGCTGGGCGGGGCTGCGGGGACAGCCCGGCACACACACGGGGCCCCTCCGCAGGTTTCAGTCAGAACCCGTGTGTAATTCACCACCTGCTCTGTTTTGATACAGATGAACTTCTGCGCGGCCACACTGGAAACATCACACACTTTCATCGGCAGCCCCGCCGAGGTTCCGAGCCTTCGGGGCAGCAGGGGGTGGTGGTGGTGGTCACAGGCTCTTTGGGAAGTCGGCGGGGGGGGCCCCGCCTCCGTGCCCGCCCAGAAGGAAGGGGGTGCGAGGCTCAGGGGCACAGGGCCCGCCTGAGGCCCTGGTCTGAGAGGCCGACCGTCATCCATCCGTCTCCTCCTCTGCGGTGGACGCGGAGGCCTCTTCCTTCCTCGGTTGTAACGGGCGCCGCAGTGAATGTCTGCCTTCAAGTGTGTTCAATTCCTGCGCCTTCTGTCACTTCTCAGGACGCGTTGCCAAAGAGGCCCTTGGACTCAGTGGGTCAGAGCAGTACCGGCCGGGGCTCGGCACGGAGAACCGGGGGGTCCTGTTCTGTCGCTGCCTCACCCAGCTGGCCCATGAGACCGGACCGGGTGCCTCTCAGGACAGACATGAATGACCAGCCGGCCACTGGTCTTGCCTGGTGCTCACACTCACCCCAACCCAGAGCCTTGACCTCTGGCCCCAGAGGCTGGGGGTTAGGAGCCCCCACAGAAGCTAACCCTGCTGGCAGAACTCGGACCCCAGCGGGAGGAGGGGCGTCCGCGGGAGGCTCTGAGCCCACATTGGGCGGAGATGTCTGGCCATCGCAGTAGCTCACCACCTGGAGACCAGGCCCTGCGGGCTACACCCTACACGTGGCACAGGGACAGACCGTGTCCTCTTTGAACACTCGGCCTGCCTGCCCCGCAACAACGAAGTGTTGGGGGACTCCCTCCCCACCCACTCCTAGCCTCATGCCCAGCCTCCACGTGTAGTTCTCCGGCGCCGCCACTAGAGGGGTCCCACGAGCTAGCCTGACTTCGTCCCCTCCCGGGGACCCAATTCCCAGTTCAACCAGGAGACGTGGTTCCTTGGAGCAGTTTTGGGCGCACCCACATCCTCAAGGCCAATGCCCCGGAGGGGGTCCGGCCCAGCCAGAGGCCTGCACTCCGGGACCTCAGCGGGGACGCCTTCTCTGCCAGAGGAGAGGGCGTGCCTTCCTCGAGCTGGCGCCCCTCCTGGCGGGTTCTCCACCCCACCTGCGCACGGCGGGCCCCCTGGGGAGCTCAGTCACTGCCCTTTCCTGGGCCCCACTGCCGCGGTTCTGGTTCCACTGGTCTGGGTTCAGCCTGGGCATCAGTGTTTGAAGCTGCCCAGGGTGGCCCCGTGAACAGCGGGGACTGGGAATGTCTGCCCGGCCGTGCCCGGCATCACCGGCCCCTGAGTCCGGGATCCCCAGTCCCATCACCCCGTGGGCGCTGCAGCCGGTGAGAGGCAGCAGAGAAGGAGATGGGGCCACCGTGGGCCATGGGCACCGCCCAGTGCCCAGATCTAGCTCACGCTGAAATCTCCAGCGGGAAAATGCAGGTTCCAGGCCCCGCCCCCGCCCCTTGTGGAGCCCGCATCTGCGCGTTCGGTTTGCTCTAGCCACGTGCCAGGGCGGGGTCGGGACGCCGTGTGCGGACCTGGCGGGAAGGCTCCAGGGGCCGCACGGGAGGGGGCGTGTCCCTGGGAGCCACGGAGCGTGAGCACGCCCAGGACCAGAGCACCGGCTGATGTCCAGCTCGGCAGGGACAGGCGACCCCTGAACAAGACTGCGTGGGGCAGGAGGGCCGGGAGCAGGGCGGAGGGGCCTGCCCAGCGGCAGCTCAGGAGCTGGGCTCTTGAACCCAGCTGCCGGCCAGAACCACCTGGAACACTGGGCAGACGGGAAAATGGAGGCCTGGCCCCGCTGCGTCGTGGCCGGCCCTTGAGGACTCGGCGCGGAGTAGAAGGAATCAGACGCAAAGGCCACATACTGTGTGACCCCATGGGTAATGTAGCGTCCAGAGGAGGCGGCCGGGGGTCAGAAACGCACGGACCGTGTCCAGGGGCCGGCGGAGGGAGGCAGGGAGGGGCCCTTCTGGGGCGATGAGAAAGTTCTGGAACTGGCTAGAGGGGGTGGTATGTAGCGCTGCGAACGCACTAACTGCACTAACTGCCACCGAACTGCAGTGTGAAGCCGTCAGTCAGCCAGTCTGTGTTGCGTGCATTTTCTGCGTCCATCCAGGAAGGTTCTGCGCCTGGGCCAGACCACTCTGCCCCGGGACTGTCCTCAGCGCGGGGCCGGGGGGTGAGCACAGCTCTACCCTCTGGTAAGAAGCCACCCTCGGGGGTGACCAGAATGTCCGCTGACCCTGCCACATGTCCCCTGGGGGCAGAGCAGCCCCCGTGAGAACCACTGTTGACGGAATTGCCCAGGCCCCAGACTGCACAGAGGGTCCCCGGGGGCTCCCGGTGCGGCTGAGGCGGAGAACCACCGGGGACGGGAGGAAGCGGGGCCCGGGGGTGGATTCTCCGGGTGCACCCACAACACGGAGGTGGCCAGTCCATCTTACGAATGAGGAAACAGGCTCCGAGAAGGTAAGGAGCTTGCCCAGCCTCAGGCCCACCAGGTCCCTCAGTTCCCCCAATTCAAGCCCCTCAGGCGCTCAGGCTGCTGAAGGGAGCCGAGCAGGCCAGGCGCTGGTTCTGGTTCTGCCACTAAGTCCTCGGCCACAGGCCCGCAGCCAGGCCCGCCACCTCTGTGGGGTTTGGTGAAGACAGGAGGGTGGGCACCTGTGCCCCAGGCTGGGCCCTGGGAGGGCTGGACACCCACCGGTATCGCTGTGCTGGCAATGTGGTGCCACCAGGGGGCGCCCTGGGGCCCGCGGGGCTGGCTTGTGATTTGCAGCCTGGTTCTCGGGTGGGAGCGCCAGGCAGCTCCGAGGACCGTGTCGGGTGCCTGGAGTCCCGACTGCCGACCCCCTCTTTTATGTGGACACTCCAGTACGGGAACAAATGCTATCAGTTCACCCTCAGGCTTTGTCGGGCCGCCATTTATTGAGGGTTTGACATCAGAAAGAATCCATCTCGAATTCCTTCCCGCGGAAGCCGGCAAAGCGTCCCACACTCCTACTCCTTGCCCCTTGGCTGCTGGGCTCACAGGGGTCCCCAGGGACCTCAAGGGCACCTCGGCTGGCACGCACCCAGGGGGGCGTGATTCCCGCCTGGCCAGTGTTCTGGCCGGGTGGCCTCCCCGGGCCTTACTTCCGTCTGCTGCCCACAGAGGGCGATGTCGGGCCGGCCTCACAGGTTTGGGGTGGCCGTGAGCACACACCCGGGGCCCACACCACACTCGGACCATCCCTACCCTCCCGATGGCTCTACGCCAGTGCTTAGCGTCACTGTCACCACTGTTTGTTTGCCTCAGAATCTGAGGACAGTGAGGACCACAGCCAGGCCACGGGAAAGGCTGCAGAGGCCGGAGGTAGCCCTGGCCAAGCTGGGGCAGCCCCAGCCTGCTGTTCACCTGCCAAGCGCAATCAGCTCTGGGAGGCGCTGAGGACCCTGGGACAGCCACCTTCCCATCAGGCCCACAGCAGACACAGTACCCTCAGGTGGCACGGAGTGACAGGACCCCGCTGCCACGGCCCTGCCGTGGGGACAGCTGGCACCTGGAGCAGAGGCAGGAGGGACACAGGCTGTCCCCAGTACTCAGCGAGCAGAGCCGGTGATACCCATGGCGGTCCCCATCGTGCCCAGTCAGCGAGCCCAGGACCCGAGGCAGGAACTCACCTGCTCTCGCTCTCCAGGAACACGGAGCTGCTGCTCTCGGCCAGGGCGGCGCTGACGGGCGACAGGCAGAAGGGGGAGGAGAAGGCATCCGAGTCCGAGTCGAAGGAGCTGTCCCTGCTCACGCCCTCGGCTGACAGCTCCAGGGAGCCCTCCTCCTCGCCCGCCTCGGGCCGCGGCTCCCGCCCCTCCTCTGCGCCGTCCTGGGAACTGGCCCTGGACAAGGTCCCGGGGTCGCCAGGGGCCGGCCGCGGGGCGTCCATCCCCAGGCCCCGGGTCAGCTTCTCCCCATCCTCGGGCGAAGGGCTGACGTGCACAGCGTCCCGGAGGCTCTGGGCCACCCCCAGGATGTCCTCGTCTCTGGGGATCAGGGTGGGGCTTGGCTCCGTGGGGGAGGCCTGCTGGGGGGCGCCCGAGCTGTGGGTGCGCCGGCCCCGCGAACGGGGTGCCTTGCGCACAGGGGAGCTCTCGGGGGTGATGTAGCGCAGCGCCTCCTCATCCTGCCTCTGGATCCGAGAGTTGGGGACCCACGCAAGGATGAGGGTGGCCCCCAGCAGCTCATCCTTCTCCATGTACAAGCAGAGGTAGCCTGTGGGGGCGAGGGCAGGGGTCAGGGAGGACCACGCACATGGGGGGCTTCAGACACTGCCCGGCCCCCAGTGATGCCCATCGGGACGGCTGGGCTGGGGGAGCACAGGAGCGGTGGGGCCAGTGAGCACTGGCCGGAGCCTCGGCCTGTCCAGGGCTTTTCCGAGTGTGGCAGCCCTGCCCTGTCTACTGCCTGAGGTCAGTCGGCACCAGGGAACAGGCTCAGTGTCACAGCACCGTCAGGGGGGACACAGGCTGCAGGCTCCCTTCCCCAAGAATCAGCGTGGACGGGCGGCCGGTGTGCGGGTCCTTTCCCGGCCCCCTCGGCGTTTTTTTCTCTGTAAAGCAGCCTTTCTGAAGAAGTGCTCATCCTCCCGTGCTGCGCCCTGGGCGGTTTCTGAGGCCGGCAGCAAGCGGGTGGGCATCCTGGGCTCCTGACCGCCCAGTCTGGGGGGACGGTGGCATCCGGTGGCAGTGCCTGTGCCTGCCATTCAGGGATGTCCTGATCCCTGGGCCCATGGCATGGGCCCCCTGGCCTCCTGGTCTTTGTTCTGAACCGTTGTCTGGGGCAGGAGTGGGGCCCCCACATCGCTCAGGGCTCTGGCTCCCTGTGGCTCCCATTCCAGAAGAGCTTGGGGCTGTCCCCCAGCCGGGCACGAGGGGTGCAGCTGGGAGGCCAAGGGTTGCCACGTGTGGACCACGTGGCTTTGGGACAGGGAATACGGCCCCAGACCTCGGTGCCCTGTGTCCCCCACCTTCCATCACAGCAGGGCTAAACCCCAAACTCTCTAAGGGCCACGTTCTTCCTCCTGTTTTATACCCAGAACATGTAGCACCTTCAGAAGCACCCAGAGAGTTGGCTGCTCACTGGTCAGGGGGCCTCAGGGTCAAGGTGAGGGCAGACAGGGATGTGAGGCCAGGGCCTCTGAAGCTGGGGCTCGGTGGTTAGAGAGCTCACCTCAGGCCTGTGTCCTCCGTCCCTCCCCCTCCTGCCTGCGACCCCAGTCCCTTCCTTATCCAGGCCTGCACCCCCAGGCCCTGCCCTCCCCGACCCCCCGGGCTCACCTGGGTGGTGCTCCCCCAGCCCCTGCAGCCCCTCCGGTGGGTGCACGCAGACATTGTTCTTGGAGTAGATGATCTCGCCATCTAGGACGGAGGGGGGCCCACCGCCGCCACCACCCGGGGTGAGGGTCAGGAGGTCCGAGGCTTTGGAGGAGGCCCGGCGGAGGAGGCGGCCCAGGGACATTGCAGGGGCGGTGTTCCCATCCTCCGCACGCGGGGGCCCAGGTGGGGCTGGTCCTCACCTGCCTGGGAAGGGGGACAGGGGAGATGCGTCGGGCCCAAGGTCAGGGACTTGGCTGGTGTCCCTGGGGCTGTGTCTGGCCTCACACCCGTCAGCCCCAAATGGGTTCTGGTCAGCTGTGAGCGGGTCCCGCCAGCACAGGCCACAGAGCAGGGTCTCAGCCCTGTGCACGCTGCAGACCAGGTCCCCCTCAGTGACGGGGCATCCTGGGCCTGGTAGGTGGCGAGCAGCCTCCCTGGCCTCCACCCACCAGATGCCACCAACTAACACCAGCAGGACAGCCAAACATGTCCCCCGGGGACAAACCAGCTGGCCCCTGGCTTAACCACTTTCTGGGCGCTTGGGTTGGCCCCTGCTGCGACCCCAATCATCTTGCCAGGCCGAGGCTGTCCCTCCCTTTTCTGGTCTCCTTTTCTACTTCATTCCAGTAGACTTGGCCCCCGCTGGTCTGTGGGTTTCAGGCCAATGGCGCAGGGATTCGACACCCACCCACCTTGCAAGCAATGAGGTGGCCACACAGCCCGGTGGCCGTCCGCCACCCTGCAGTCGCCGCCCTGCTGCGGCCCCGGCCTGCCCGGCACCACGTGAGCCTGCACGGTCTCATGCCCTGGCCACCTCCAGCCTCGCCAGCACAGAGGGTGGCCACCTGCTGAAACTTTTTAAAAATTGCCCCTCGAAACACGTGTCATCTTTCTAATGAATTGTCCAGAACAGCTATGTCCTCGTGCTGGTGACGATCCCATTGTCAGGCAGATTTTTAAAGTCCAAGCAAACAGATACTGTTTGTGCTTAACCCCCGTATCCCAGAGGGTCATGTCAGCGGTTCCTAAACGGCTCCGGCCCCTGCTGGTGCGGCTCAGTGGGTTGAGCGCCTGTCTGCCAACCAAAGACATGTTGCCGGTTTGATTCCTGGTCAGGGGCTCGTGCCCGGGTTGCGAGCCAGGCTCCCAACTGGGCGCATGCGAGAGGCAACAGACCCATGTTTCTCTCCCCCTCTATCTCCTTCAAGTCCCTTCTCTAGAAATAAATAAATTATTTTTAAAAATGTCTGATGAGCTATTTCACCTTCTTTAAGTCTTTGAAGTCTGGGGTGTATTTTACACGTGAGACACCTCAGTTCGGAGCAGCCACGCTCTACCTGCTGCAGCCTCAGGTGGGCGAGGCCGGGGTGGTGGGGCCCGCCTCCTGGCAGCCTCCCACGGCACCGCAAGTTTAATCTCCGTGGGCTGCAAACACGTCTCTGCTGGTTCCCCCAACTGCAGCGTCCTTTGGCGAAGATGCTTTGCCACGACCGAGGATAATCAGAGGAATGTGCCGGAAGCTGCGAAGGCGGTTCCCGAACACAGCTGTCGCTACAGGGCGGTTCCCGTACAGTGTCCGAGGCGGCCCTCACTGCAGCGCTGGGAATCACCCCCCTGACGTGCAGTCTGGCAAGTCAGGCGAAGGGCTTGGGGCAGCCGAGGTCGCCCGGTGATAGAAAACCTGGGAGCGAGACGTCCGTCGCCGGAGCCTCCGGTGCAGGCAGTCCAGCCGCACCCCACCCCGGCCCCCGTGGCCCCTGGCAGGGTGGGTTCTGGGTGACGGTGGGCCTTTGGTGGGGGTCGAGGCACGTCTGCGAAACGCTGGCCACAGATACCGCTCTTCAGACAGTTGGCGTCTATTTTTTCAATGTGCTTGTCGGTTTGGGAGTCTCTGCCGTCCCAGCTGCGGCTGGGCCCCAGACTCTGGTCTCTTTAGAAGTGGAGGTTCTTTGACCTTTTTAAAAGCTTTTCCCCCAAATTATGAAATGTGCTCAGAAGTATAAAAAAGACCACATATCCCTGCAATTGCACAGTCTGTGCCTTTCTTAAAAAACAAACTACAGAAAACCCCGCTCACGGGGATTGTGTTGGCCCTGGTTTCCCTCGTCTCAGGAACGTGCCGCCCGGCCCCGGCCGGTGGCTCCGGCGTTTGGAGCACCTTCCTGTGCAACACACGGCTGCAGGTTCAATTCCTGGGCAGGGCACATACCTAGGCTGTGGGTTCGATCACCTGTCGGGGTGCATGCAGGAGGCAGCTGATCAATGTTTCTCTCTCAAATCAATAACTGTACCCTCAGGGGAGGAGATCTTACCCAGGTGTTAGAGGTGGAAGTGTGTCCTGCCCCCCAAATTCCTATGTGGAAGTCCTAACCCCCAGGACCTGAGTGTGACCTTATTGGGGACCAGTCTCCCTGGAGGGGATCAAGTTAGAATTAGATTCTGACGTGGGTCCTCCCCCCATGAGACTGGCCTCTTTTCAAAAGAGGAAATTCGGAGACAGACATCCGCACACAAGATACAGAGTCGCCTGGTTGGTGTAGCTCAGTGGATTGAGCGCAGGCCTGCGAACCACAGGATCACAGTTCGATTCCCAGTCAGGGCACATGCCTGGGTTGCAGGCCAGTTCCCAGTAGGGGACGCATGGGAGGCAACCATACATTGATGTTTCTCTCCTTCTCTCCTTCCTTTCCCCTCTAAAGATAAATAAATAAAATCTTAAAAAAAAAAAAAAAAGAGTCGGCTGCCTGCAAGCCGGGCAGCGGGGCCCGCAGCAGATCCCGCGAAGCCTCAGAGGGACCTGGCCCTGCCCGCACCTCGACCTTGGACTTCCGGCCCCGGGACTTCCGGACAATACATCTGTTCTCTCAGCTGCCCATCTGTAGCATGGGGCTCAGAGCCACAGAAAACAAACACTCCGTGTTAGCAGCAAGGTAAAAATTCAAAATGCCGACCCTCCGTCCTCACAGCAGATGCGGGAGATGGAGACGCACCATCCTTCAACCAGCCCGCCGCCATTCGGTCCCCGGACAGTGGCTGTTCACGGAGCAGTCCCCACAGGTTAACAGGCAAACCTCGTCCTGCACCTTCCCCTTCCCTCGGGGCCGCGTCCGGAATCCCGAGCCGTTGCCCTGGCTTGGCCCCAGGCCCCGGACGCAGCACCCACAGGGTTTCCACAAGGCGCCACCAGAGGCTTGAATCTTTGCCAGTCCGGGCACTGAAATGGGTTTCTGACGATGGACTCACAGGAGCACAGAGCCCCGTGTGAATCGGACGCTCGGATTCCCCCGGGGCCCGCATGCCGGCGTCCCCCCCCCCCCCCGCCGCCGGGGTGCTGGTCTGCGGCGGACACACCGCAAGCATGAACCTGGCCCCTCTGCTCCCCAGGGTGGCCCTGCGGGCGTTTTCCTGGCTCCCTGGTGGCCCGCTCACCCTGTCGTCTTCAGACACATCTTAAACTTCTGTGGAGTACGAGTGATGATAACGCTTCCCTGACAATTTGTTTTTTTTTTATTGCTTTTATATTTTATATCATCCTTCCCAAGCCAAGAGAATGAAAATTTCTTATCATTTCAATCGGCGATGAAGTACTTCCGATATTTCCAAAACCCTGATGCAAAAGGCGTGTTTTCCGGAGAAGGTGACCCCTGCTGAGGGCAGTGCCGACCCGCCCCCCGCAGGTCTCAGGGGGCTGTACCTGTGCCCCCCTGTCTGGGGGACAGACACGGGGACAACTGTCACAGGCCGGTAACACTGGAGGCTTGTTACAGAATACTTCCTGGAAATTTTGAAAGAAGGGGGCCCTCGCCGGTGACCCAGAGACCGGCGTGGGCTGGCCCGAGCTCTGGGCACACCCTCTCTGCTTCTCCCACACTGCACACGGGACAGACACACATGCCACCACGTGGGTTCACACTGCCGACACGCTCCAGTGAGAACAGCTTGTCACAGGCGTGTTTCGGTGAGAAGTGAGGTTGTCCGACCCTCCTGCCCAGGCAACCGCCTGGCCTGGGACACTCACAGGGGCCTCTGATCGCGTGGAGATGGGGAGCAGGAGCCCAGTGGCCGTTTCGGGGGGTGCCCACCAGCCCCGGGCTCCTCATTAAGACCACCGGGATGCACCCCAACGGAGCTCTGCAGACGCACCTCCCTGAACCCAGACCCCCCTGAAGCCATTTCCTCTGGAATCCCCTTCCCACCTTATTTCCACGCTGTTCAAGGAGATGGCTTCCTGCCCTGGCCGGTGGCTCAGTTGGTTGGAATGTCGTCCCCACACCAAAAGGTGGCGGGTTCGATTCCTGGTCTGGGCACCTGCCTTGGTTCTGGGTTTCAACCCCACATACAGGAGGCAACCGATCGATGTTTTTCTCTCTCTCTCTCCCTTCCTCTCTCAAATCAACAAACAGGTCGTCTAGTGAAGATTAAAGTTTTTTTAATGTAAAGAGCTGGCCTCAGGTGATGCAGAAGCCAGGCCCACGGTCCAGGGCGCTCACGCTCGGCCGTCCCGCCAGGCTTCCTCACAGCCGCCCCGGACAGAAGGGACAACGACCTCTCGTCCACGTGACCTCGTGGGGCGGCAGCGACCCACCCGCACAGTGAGCTCCCCTCCCGCTGCCCCCGGCCCAAAACCACAGCTTCGCGTCCCCGGATTGTCGAGGCCACGGTGGGGGCGCGGGGGGCACTCGAGAGGTGGGGTGGCCGCGGGCTCTGCGCTCGGTGTGGAGTTCCACTGGGCTCCCACAGTGCAAGTTGCCAGCGTCCTAACTTGGCAGCTCGACCCTCCGGCTGCTGAGGCTAAATCTGAGCCCCCCACACACACACTGTCAGAGGAGAGATGCAGAACACGGTCCCAGAGCGCCCCTCCTGGGAGAGCCCGAGGTCCCTGAGAGGCCTGGCAGGGCCCAGGCCTGGGGCAGCTGTCGGCTGAAAGTCGAGACTCCATCACCGGCTGAGGCTGGGACCCCATCCACCCCCCTCAGAGGAGGGCAGGTGGGGGCGGGGCTGGGGCGGGAGGCAGTCCCCCCCCTCCCCACCCCCCACCCCCCGCCTGGGGCCAGGCTGCTATCATCAAGCTGCTCAGGGGACACTCCCCGCCCCCCCCCTCCGTTTGTCACCAGCCGGATGTTAAACAGGATTGGCGACAGCTGCTGGGTGGATCCTGCCTGCAGAATCTGTCCCTGCCCAGCGGCCCGTCACTGGGAGCAGCAGGAAGTGTGCGTCCCAGTGAGACCCAGGACGAGGAGTTGCAGGCGAGGTCGGGAACTGCCCGCAGAGAGGCCGCAGGAGGACCCCTTGGCCTCCCGGTCCTGCGCCCGGCTCCGCCGGTCTGCCGTGGGCTTGTCTAGTCAGGGGCTGGCCCCCCTGTTTCTGGGCAGCGGCGGGGTCCCCGTGAACCAAGAGGCCTATCCTCCGGTCACAAGAACAGAGTTTCGGTCAGGGCCCATCTGCACAACCTCCAAATGCCATCAGCTGAGACCCTGACACAGAAGCGGCCAATGGCCGAGAGGGAGCGGACAGAGGCTCCGCCCCCTCCCGTGAGCACGCAGACTCCGCTGAAATCGAAAACAGTAGAGAGTCCCTCCGGGCCTTTGGTGCCAGTGAAACAGACCTGCTCCACCAGCCTGAAGGCGGACACAGGGCTCTCCCTGTCCATCTCCCACCAGCACAGAAACCACCCCCCAAATGCTTTCTTAGCATTTTTATTTTAACGGGGTCACACCGGGCAGCGGTGCTGATTTGAGGCGATAAGCTCCTGAGTCCCAGCTGACCCTGAGAGTCCCTTTGATGAGGCGTCGGCCAGCAGGCCGACCCCGATCAAGTCCCAGTGCCGTTTTTGTCGGTGGAAAGGCCGCCGCTGCCAACCGGGCAGCCGGCACAGAGACTGGGCACCAGTGTGGGTGCAGGAAGACAGACAGGTGACAACTTAAAAGCTATACAGTAGAAATGCCGGTGCTGGTTTTGAACCCTCTGCTGGCAGGGGGGTTACAAGTTCAACTTTGCGCTGCCGCAAGCGACCGGAAATTTTTGCAAAATGAGCTGTTGCGCAGTCAGGAAGGAAGGAGCGCCTTGGCTTCCTCTCGCGGTAGAACAAAGGCTCTCTGCAGAAACTCCCCCGCGACAGACACACTCTTTCCCGCTCTGGCTCCTCCTTAGGGACCAGAGCAACTTTCGGAAGCACGGATTTGGGGCCATGTGCAGGTAAGTCGGTCAGACGGCGGAGGGCGCTGGTCTCATTCCAGGGAGAGAGAGGCCTGGAGGTGGGCAGCTGCCTGGGGAGGGAAGAGGGCAGGAGCCGCAGAAGCCCCAGGGGGCAGGGAGAGAGGGGAAGGGAGGCGCCGGGGAGGGGAGAAGGGCGCTTCCTTCGCAGCCCTGTTCAGCTCCATTCAGAACGGGCAGAGCTCCGGGCCTGCTGTGAGCCACGTGACCTGCCAGGTCTCGGGCCCTTCGGCCTCTGCCACATGGGCCAGAGGCAGCTGAGGGCTTTGTGACTCGGCCGCGAGGCTCAGACGCCTTGTTGCCCAAAGTCCGCTCCCCAGGATTTGCTGATTTACACCTGAGGAAAGAGAGCCCCGCTGGCTGGGAAGACAAAGCCCCTGAAAAGCCAGAGACAAACGAAGCCCAGATTACGAAATGACGCCCTTCAGAAAAGACACAAGTCCCGTCCACGCGGAGAGGCCTCCAGCAGCTGCCATAACCAGTCACCATGAACTCAACACAGAAGTTACTATGTCGCTGTTCTGGGGGCCTCAGGGCGACGGGGTCCCGCTGTGCCGAAACCAGGGCGGGGTTGTCACTGGAGCGGTTCCTCCCGGAGGCTCTGAGGGAGAATCTGCGTCCCTGTCCTTTCCGGCTTCCAGAATCACCCACATGCCTCCCCCCTCAGTGCCATCGATGACGGCCCAGCCTTGCTCATACCACGTCACTGTGACACCAACTTGCGGCCCCCTGGTTCCCTCCAGGACACCGTGTGGTGGTGACACAGGCCCTGGGGACTCCGGGATGCGCCCCCCAGCCCCAGGCCAGCTGACTGGCAACCTCAGCCCTTCGCCATGTGCCCCAACGCAGCCCCAGGCTCCCAGGGTAAGGACGCAGACAACTCTGGGGGCGATGTTTCCACACCACACCGAGGTCACTGTCAAGAGCCGCAGCAAGGTTTGCCCTTCTCTCACCCCCCCAATTGGCCATCGGAGCCCCTGCGCAACTGCTGGGGGCTGCCCCAGTGCTGGGGGCTGGGGTGCGGGGGAGACCGGAGCCTGTAAAGGCCACAGACGTGCCCCCTGGACTCGCCTGGAGCCCCAACTTCTCCATTCGCTGCCCTGTGCTGCCCCTGCCTCGGGCCACCTGGGGCTCAGGTGCTGTGACGCAGTGGCCAGCGGTACAGACGTGGCCCTGGCATGTCACGGGGCCAGCAGTCACCACGCACCGAGGGGACACAGCCCGCACGCATCACGTGTCCCCGCAGAGGCAGGGAGGCAGCGGGTGGGGCATCGGACACGCACGGAACCGGACCTGTCACGGGACACAATCTGCAGGTGGTGACCCCGGCCTTGTCCCTGCCAGATGGCTCCACTGAGCTCCAGGCACGTGGCCGGCAGAAACCGGTTCATCCACTCCGGCCCCAAAGCCCAACCGTCAGACGCCGGGGACAAGGACACACGCCAACACGACCTTTTCCCTCCTGGCGCACCTGCTGCGGACAAGCCCCGGTGGGGCCCAGCCCCCTTCACAGGAGCAGGCCCACCAGGCACCGGCACTGCCATCTCTGGGGAGCCCCGGCTTCCTGTTCTAGGGGGCAGTGATGGAAACCCCGCAGCCTTCGGGGTCCGGAACCCCATCTGGGAGCGGCTGGAAGCCGTCGGTCTCCTCTGCACCTGTGGGCTGAGATGGCCCCTCCTCTCAGCTGTGTCTGAAGTCAGGAGTTGGGGTGACTGCAGATAGGCAGCTGTGGGGTCAGGTGGAAAAGGCAGGGCCGCCGTGGGCCAGGGAGGGGCCGGTCTCCGCGTGGAACGAAGGGCGAGACAACTTGCGTTTAAACAAAGCAACAGAGTCGATGTCCTGGACCCTGGTGCGGAGCTTCGGCCACACTGCTGGGGGCAAGGGGCCTGGTGAGAGGCGGAAACTGGGCAAGACAGTTAAAGAAAGGGCAGCGAGGGGAGACCTGCAGACCCGATGTGGGTGTCGCTTCGACTACAATACTATTTCCCCTCGAAGAGCCAAGGAAGGAGGGCCCGGGAGCCAGAACCAGCCTTAAAGAAGAGCCAGAACCGGGCCCGAGACAGGACTTGGCCCCACAGGCAAGGAGAACCAGCCAGGACACCAGCACCCGTCCCCAAAGCGGAACACGGGCCTGGCTTCCCCGTCGCAGGGAAGGGCTCCAGCACAGAGAGGTTCTCGCCGTCCGAGGCAACGGAGGAGCCAGAGCACGTGAAAACGGAAACCTGACCGGGTCCCCTGACGGGGGTGGGGGGGCAGAACAGCCCCCCCAGAAAGCAGCCCCCCTGGATGTTGCCTAGGAAAGCGTTTTAGTGACAGAAATGGAAAAGCAGGGGCATCAGATGACATCTAACCATGCCCTTTGCCCGATTCCAGATGCTGGAGTGTGACAACCCATCATTGGACCACTGGGTTCAGGGTCACTGGGTGCGGACCAGCGAGCAGGCGGCGCAGCTGGAGGTGGGCGGTCATTGGAAGGGGAAGGTGGATTTGGGGTCTTCCCTCCCTCTCCTTGTGCAACGTGAACCTCTGTGGTCAGACACTGAACCTGGCCTTCCGGTAGCCCAGCTTCTCTCCTCCCTCCTGGACGGCTCTGTTTAGATCAGACACCAGCCATCAAAAAGCTCTTCGGAGTAGATTGATTAGAGGTGCAGGACCAAGTGACCGAAGGACATACAGGTGGCCAGTTGCGTTAAGAAACCACCACCAAAGTGAACAGGAAAGGATGTCCTGCCCCATTTCCCCGGACGTAGGGAGGAGGGAGGGGCGGACATGTGCTCTCTTTTCTGCCCACTGGGCTCGTCCAGACTCCGATTCAGCGAGCCCCCACTGAACGTCCCGGCTAGCCTCGGCCACTTGCAGCGGAATGACCTGTAACAACACTCTTCTTACCAGGAGCTAATTGATGTAAACACGGCTGAGCTCCAAGAGCATCCAATCCATGTTACAGTGAAATGGCATAGAACGAAACTGTTAGGGGCCTGCCGGACAACGGAACAATGTAACAATGTACAATAGAACAACAATGTACAATAGAACAGCGTGCACACCAGTCCCGCCCATCTCTGCACCGATCTCTGATCTCTGCCGCAGTAACTGTTTCACCCTCAAGCCGCCACCCTCCTCACATTCCACTAAACTAAGTAGCTGATCTTACCAAAGAGGGTTCAAGCTTGTGAAGAAATCTGGGTCTCTTAGCTGGGGAGGGGAGACAAGGCAGAATTTCTCCTCTAGGTTTGTGTTGCCAGGCAACCTGGTGGCCCATTCCCTGGAACAGCCAGCAGGGACCCAGCCCCACCCCACCCCACCCCCCGCCTCCCTGCACAATTACAGAAACGAGCATAAACACACTGAAATGGCAAATCTCGCTTCAGCTTATGACGACTTTCTACCTGACACAGCACACACAGACAAAGCGTCACACAACAAAACCAAGATATTTCTGTCCATCTAGTTACAAGTGAGAAATGCAAACCATGGTCATTAATACTATTAATAATAATAAATAGTAACAAGCCCTTAGCGCTTGTCAGGCACTAGGCACTTTAGATAAGCACCACAGAAGGCCTGTGAGGTTGGTGGTATTATTTCCATTTTACAGACGGGGACACTGAGGCCTGAGGCACCAGGGCTGGCATTGAACCAGTGGCGAGCTCTGGAGGCCTCACTGTGACCCCTGCCCCAAGCTGCCCAGAACCCAGGCAGAGTGGCCGGCCGAGGGACGCAGTTGTGCAAACCCCGGGCTGTCTCCCCAAATGCCCGGCCACTAGTGGTGTTATGGGATTAGTCCCCTCTCCCTTGCTTTGTAATGAGTCACCTGGCAGAGTGAACCAGGCTGTCCTGTCTGTACAAGGGGACAGGGACAGTGCACGTGTGAGCCCTGGGGACCAGTCACAGAGGGGAGGCGGTGGGACCCGGTGGGGTTATTTTTGGAGCTGGACCGTCCTGTGCCCATGGCCCCGAGTCCCAGCTGCATGAACTTGGGGCAGTCACTTCTCTAAGCCTCGGGGTCCCCATCTGTAAAAAGGGGACAGTGTCCATCCCAAGGTGACGGGTTTGTTTCACGGGTTAAGTGAACTCACGTCCCCACCATCACGGTCCAGGGATTTCAACACTCCACAGACGAGAGCTTCCTTCAGCCCCACGAGGAGCCTCTGCTCCCCACAGACCCCCACAGACCCCCGAAGGCCACACGTGCTGGAGAGAACGCAGGGACTCGGCCCAGGCACGCCGTCAGCACACTTTACTGGGACCGAAGAAGGCCTCCCGCCCGGGAGGGAACCTTCCTTTGCGAAAGCTTTCTTGCTTTGGCACTCACCCATTCAACCTCAAGGTCGCCAGGGAGGGATTTTTCCTGAAACTCGCAGATTCTTCAAAACCTCCCTGACCAAGGGTAACAGCCTTGCAACGGAATTCTCCAATCCCGGCCTTCCATCCGGCCCTGTAATAACGCGCCCGGGGGTGTGGCCTTCAGAACCAGTCCCCCTCCTTTCCACGCAGGAGCTCCTGCCTCCCGGAGGTGAAGAAAGCCACGGGGCACACCCCCCCAGCCCCCCAAACGCCGCCCCAGGAAGGAAAGCAGGCCGGGCCTTCTGTTTCTGAACAGAACCTGAACTGGACCCAACTGTGAGCAGGACGCCAACTTCCCAGTGTGGGGACAACAGGGTTTTCAGACCCCCGGCTCTGGCCAGGTCCCGACGCCTTATTTGGCCATTTTAAATTGCTTGTTTTTCTCTTTCTCCTTGTTTCTATTCTTTTATCTCACTTTTTTTTTTTTTTAATAAAGAACAAGGGGAAAAAGCCTGGGCCTAAGGGAAGTGAGTTTCCTGACGTGAGGTTCGTGGCCGGATGGCCCCACCGGTGCCCGGGAATGCCAGGAGCACGCGCGCTGTGGGGCAGCACACTTGGGGGGGGGGGCAAACAGCGGCCCCCCGCAACTTCTCTCTCGCGGGCACGGACCATCCAGCCAGACAAAGACCGCTAGTTCTCCGGTCCACCGCTCCAAACAGGCGGGAACGAGTGTTCCCAAATTAGGCCCACTCTGCCCGGGCGCCCCCATCGCCACGGAGGGGGCCACCAGAATGCACCAGGCGCGATGCGGAGCGCCTGCACGCCGCCCAGCCCCAGCTCGAACCCTGCACTTTCCAGGCTGCGGCCAGACCCTGGCCCCTCCCGGGCCCGCGGCTGCAGGCCCACGCGCTCCGCGCGCCCACCCCGTGCCCTCCGAGGCGGCGCCGCCCCGTCCCCCGCGGGCCCTTGGGACCCCGCCCCCATGGCCCTGACCCGGGCCCCAATACCCACCCGGATCCCACAGCGGGGGCCGGATTCTCGCCGGCTCCGGGAGCCGCGGCCGCCACCGCCACCACCGCTGCTGCTGCCAGTGAGGCGCGGCGGGGCGGGGACGCACGGCAAGGCCCGGCCCCTGGCCCGCCTCCGGCCCAACGCGGTCCCCGCCCTCGGCCCAACTGGGCCCTCCCCGGACCCCAGCCCGACCTGGGGACGAACCCGACACTGCCCCGTTGCCTTAGCCCCTTGGCCCCAGGCCCCTGGCCCCTGGATTGCAGGCCTCGCCGCCTGCCCAAGTACCAGGCGCTGGACTCCGCCCCCGCTACGCCAGACCCGAGCCCCCCAGAGTGAAGGCGGAGTCCCTGGGACATTCCACGTGCAGTCTTGCCCTCGCCGTCCGGCCCTCTGAGTGTTTTGATTTGTTTTTCTATTTGGGGGATAGGGAGGGGGCGACACCCGGCAGCAGGCCGCTGGGTACCCCCTGTTCTCCGAGGACCCTTCGCAGGAACCCTGCCGAGACGCCCAGGTCCGGAGAAGGGTGGGCGGACACCAGGCTGTGGTCCCCGGCCCACCCGAAGGTGCAGCCGGCTCCGGGGCTCCTCGCGTCTCAGCCTCCACCTGCCACCCTGGGGCGCTGAGCCGCCCCGGGTTCCGGAGGGTACCCCGCGCGGTCCCCGGGGCATCGGAGTTTCCGGGCTGGACTCAGGTTGAGACGGTTGTCGCTTTACCGAAACTCAGCCCCGGGGGTAGCGCTCGGACTGCGAGCAGCGATGCAGGGCCCACGCTGACACTCGGACACGTCCACTCATCAGGGAGCCAGTGTCTCCAGCGCGCGGAAACCGACCCGGGGCCGCGCGCCCCAGCCCCCCTCGGCGCGCGCGGGGTCTCCGCGGGCCGGATGTTGACGGCGTCGCCTGGTAACGGGAGATGGCGGAGCCGGGCGCCGGGGCCGGCGGGTAAGCGGGACCCAGACGCCGCGTTCTCGGAGCAGCCCACGGCCCCGGCTTCCATAGCCCCCCGCAGCCCCCTGGGCGGCCCTTCCCTCTGGCCCCTCTCTTCCCACCGTCGCCCCTTCCATCCCCGCCCGGCCGTCCCGCCCCTCCCGCCCCCTGCGCGCCCCTCTCCCTCCTCACCGCCCTTTGTCCTCTCCCACACCCGCTCCTTCTCCCCTGGCCCCAGAGGCTCCACTCGGGAAAACCCGGACGCCGGGCAGTAACCATGGCAACTCCACGCCGGGCGGCCTCTGCTCCGGTGCCGGAGCCCCGCGCAGGCGGCTCTGCGGGGTCGGGGGCCTCCAGAGGCCGCCGGGAGCCGGAGCCCAGCCCAGCCTCCCTTCCCCCTTGGAAGGGCGACTCCATCCCCTCCCCGGGCTCCCGCGTGGGTGGGGGGGGGTCCCTCGGGCGGGAGCGAGCGACCGGGGCACAAGTCATCTGGGAAGGCCCCGCCACCAGGCCCGTCTCGCAGGCTTAGTTGGGAAGCACAGACGCTCCTTTAAAGGACTGGCCCTTAACCTGAGACGCGGCTGCATCGTTCCGTTAAAAAAAAGTCAAGGAACGAAAGTGGGCCCGGTGTGGGAGCACCGCCGCGGAGGGAGAGTCTGGACCCGACCGCCGGCGCGGGGCGGCCTGGCCTGGGACCGTGTGATCTCCCCGGAGGACCTCGCGGAGAGAGCGTGCGCTCGGGTCCCTCAGTGGGGCCTCCGGGAACCTGAGAAGGAGAGGACAAGTCGCGGGGGACTTTTATCGCCCGTGTCACCCATTTCTGCTTTAGTTTGACTTTAAAAAGACAACGAGCTTGTACTGTGAATTAGAAAAAATAATTTTAAGCCTGTAAATTGGGATATTTTGGACCCACCCAACCCTGAATTGGGAGCAGTTGCCCTTTTCGCCACGGCGCCCCCCCCCCCCGTTGTCCCCTGCCACAGTTCTGTCCCCGACACACGTGTATTCCAGGTGGCTTTCCTGGCACGACCTCCTGGCGCCCGTAATGTTTCCATAGTTGCCTTTCGCTTTCTTTCACCACACGGAGCCGCTTTGGGTTGCCCTCCATCCAGTGTCGGGGCAAGTGACAGACACGGTCACCCCAAGTCACCCCTGGACACGTGGACGTCCAGGAGGTGAGGAAGGCCAGGACAAAGGGTCCTCTAGTGTGTGAAGCGACTCCACGGTCTTTCTGCCGCCAGGTCCCACGTGGAGGGGGACGCGACTCCTGGAGCCCAGGACCAGGACAGCGGAGGCCACAGGGTAAGGTTCCCCTCGGGGCATGTCGTTCTGGGCGAGTGTGTCCTTGGAACGCGAGGCGTTCAGGGCTTGCTCCAGGTGGGCCTGGGTTTCCTCTGCAGCGCTGTGGAGTGTGGGCGGCCTGGGGGCTCAGGGCACGCCCTGGGCTTCGGGAACCCCGAGCTGGTCAGTGGTGGCTCCCAGCACCGAAGACACCGCGGGGGGGGGGGGAGCCACGGGCAGAGTGGGTGGGGCTTCTTCCTGGTGCAGTTACACTGTCGTAAAACCTGGGGGGGTGGGGACAAATATGATAGCATAATCAGTAAAATACAATAAAATTAAAAACAAAGAAAGAATCGAAACCTCACCAGACCCCATGTAACTTCGTTTCCTGATTTTTTCCCACCCACGCGGCTGTAGGCACCAACGGCAGAGGAGGATGGTGACCAGGAAAAGGAAGATGCTGTTGACGCTACCGAACCTCCTGAGGGGGAGGTGACAGCCCTCGGGGAGGTCACATCGGAGGGGGAAGTCACACCTGGTGGAGAAGTCGCACCCGAAGGGGAAGTCGCACCCAGTGGGGAAGTCGCACCCGGTGGGGAAGTCACACCTGGTGGAGAAGTCGCACCTGGTGGAGAAGTCGCACCTGATGGGGAAGTCGCATCTGGTGTGGAAGTCGCACCCGATGGGGAAGTCGCACCCGAGGGGGAAGTCGCACCTGGTGGGGAAGTCGCACCCGATGGGGAAGTCGCACCCGGTGGAGAAGTCGCACCTGAAGAGGAAGTGGACACCGCGGAGGAAGTGGAGCTGGAAGAGGAGGTGGAGACGGAAGGGGAGGCCGCGTCCCCCGGGGACCGAGTCAGCTCGTCCGACACCAGTCCCGGGGACGCGGCCACAGAGGAAGACGACGCCATGTCCCCGTCTGAGAGGGCGCGGAGGGTGGCCAGTCTCGAGGACTGGGCGCCCCTCCGGCCGGCAGGACCCGGAGAAGGCGGGGGCTCTCCCTGGCGCGGGCCCAGCACCCCGGTGAGTAGCCTCGACCCGCTGCTGCCCGGTCCCTGCGGTTTGTCACCCCATGTGGGGAACTCGGGGTGCACTCCAGATCCCCGCTGGGACCCCTGTTAGAAATGGCCCGGCTGGCGTCTACGCGTCAGGAGCGGGCGCCCCCCACGGGGAGGTGTCCGGGTTTGTGGTCTCCGAGCCACCAGCCCGGCGAGATGCTCCGTGTGACCAGGGGGTGCCCTTCCCCGTGCCCTTCGGCGTGGGGACCGCCTGTCGGGTGTGGCCGCAGAGCACTGCCGTCACGCCCAGGGGGCAGAGGGGTCACCGTGGTGCCCACACCCCAAAGGATAATCTCTGTGCCCCCTCCTCGCCCGCCTCAGGGGGCTCCCCGGTCGGGTGAGCCCTGGGAGGGGAGCAAGGGGCCGGGAGGGGTGGAGAGAGGTGCGTCCCATCTCTCCGCGGCGGACATGGCTGGGTCCTCGGCCTGTGCTGTCTCCGTGAGTCCGACAGCGGCCCCGTGGAGTGGGCGCGGTATCAGTCTCCCGCACAGGCGGGAGGCGGGGGCGGGGCCTCGCTGCCCCGTGCCAGCTGTGATGGCCGACGGGCACCCCTGCTCCCGGCTGCCCTCCGGAACCACGAGCCAACGGCGGCCCCGTGAAACCCGAGTTCACACCTTTGGAGAAAGACGTGACTGGATATTTGGTGGGCCCTCATTAAGCTTTATTATTATAAACAGCACATACACAATCGAGACCACTTCTAAGAACTGGACCACAAAGCAAAGCATCTTCACTTCTAAGACGGCCAGGAGGTTCGAGGTGTAGGGTGGCCTGTGGGGCTGTAAACCCAGTGTCCATCCTTGGCACTAGCTTCTAGAAAATTCACTGGGAAACGGTTTCCAAATGTGACCAGAAAAGCAGAAACAGCCCCTAAGGCGGAGCCCTGTGTCTTTCCTCCCTGCTGGTCCCAGTTCCCTAGAGGAGACAGGAATTGTGGCCCTGGCTGTGGTGGTTCAGTGGATTGAGCGCCAGCCTGCGAACCAAAGGGTTCGATTCCCAGTCAGGGCACAGGCCTGGGTTGTAGGCCAGGTCCCCAGTAGGGGGCGCTGGAGAGGCAACCACACACGGACGTTTCTCCCTCCCTTCCTTTCTCTCTTAAAAAAAAAAAAGAGTTGTGGAAGTAGGAGCCACTGTGTCCAGCGGTGTGCAGGGATGCCTCACTGACAGCCGGTTCGGGGACAGGGACCCTTTCTGGACACCCCAGAGGTGGGCATCTCACTCCGGGTCTCCACGGATGTCACTGAGCCTCTGGGCGTCAGCATCATCTGAGGAAGTACAGCTACGAAGCGCAGGTGTTGCGGGTGAACAGCTCCAGAGCGGGCCGTGGGCTAGCGGTGTGAGCGCAGGCGAGGTCTTCTGCTCCCGCGGGGCCACTTTGCGACAGGTGTCTGCCTCCCAGGGTGGCTGTGCAGGGTCCTGGTTGGTGCCGATATTCACCAGCTGATCACCAGCAAGGCTTATCGCCAACGACAAGGTCGCGAGTCCCTTGTAAAGCAAAAATGGACCCAGGCGGTTTTATGGAGGGAGAACATTTTCTTATCAAAGTGTTGGCGGTGTGAATGGTTTGAGAGAAGAGAAAGAGCCCTCCTGGGAGAGCAGGGCGGGGCGGCGTCTGCCCCGAAGGAGCCTCGCCCGGCACCCCGTCCCTCCGTGGTCGCAGGTCGAGGCAGCCAGAGAGCAGGCCTGGATCCCAAGTCGGGGCTGGCGGGGCGGGGCAGACAAGGTCCATTCCGACCATTTGCAAAAGCCAAATGCTCTTTTTATGAAAAGATTTTATTTATTTATTTATTAGAGAGAAGGGAAGGGAGGGAGAGAGACATCCATCAGTTGCCTCTCCTATGCACCCCGACCGGAAACAACCCGGAACACGGGCTTGTGCCGTGGCGGGGAATTGAACCAGCAGCCTTTCGTTTTGCAGGACGATGCTCCAACCGACTGAGCCACGCCGGTCAGGGCCAGCCTTTGCCTCCACACGGGTTCCCCTTCCTTTAAGGGTCCTGTCGGACTGTGGGTGCCGCAGCCAGTTGAGCCCGGTCCGTGCCCGGTCCGACTGAGCACAGACGCAGGACTGGCTGTTCTCGTTCCAGAACTCGTCGGAGGAGGAGCTCCAGCGGGAGGGCCCCGCGGCGAGGGCACGGCACCCCCTGAGGCTGAGCCGGTGGAGCAGCACCTTATCCCTGGATGAGCTGTCCCTGCCCCTGGAGGGGCCCCCGGGACTCGGGCCAGGTACCATGGCCCCTGCCCTCAGCAGCAGCCACCTCCCAGCCCCTTTGGGGCCCGGGGGGCCCCATCAGGGAGAAGCCAGCTTCCTGTCCACTGTGTAAGTGGCCCTCTCTTCGGGGCGCGTCACTTTGCGGTGAACAGATTCGGGACAGGAAGACACCGCAAACGGGACTCTGAGCCCCGGTCACCGGGCCCGTCCCCTCACGTGCCCGAGGATGGGAATCAGCTCTGTCCTACAGCTGACTCTGTCACCTCCTCCATGTCACTTGCTGTCCCCTCCAGAGGAGCCTGAGGCCGGCCCCAGGGAAGGGTCCCCGACCTCCTTCCTGGAGAGGACCCAGCAGCTCAGCTCCTCCGAGGAAGGGCGTGTGCAGCGGACGGAGTCCGAGGGGAGTGAAGAGGCCGCTGGGGGAGAAGACGTGTCCCCACTCGTGGTCTTGGACCCCAGCCACGTAAGGAGACCTTGCCCGGTTCTGCGTCGGGGAGGAGTGACTTAGAGGCACTTGGGCCTCTCTCTGCCCGCCGCCTCCACGGGCCTCCCCGTCACCCGACACTGGGCCCCCACGGCACCGGGTCACGGAACAGTTATCCTGCGTGGTCCCGGCCGGCTGCCTCGGGCAGGGCCCATACACCCCAGATCGGCCCTTCTCAGCCTCGGCACCGCCGGCACTCGGGGCCGTCGTTCCTCGCCGCGGGGCGTCCTGGGCAGACAGGGAAGACCAAGCCTGCTGGGAGAACCCATCTGCAGGAGGGAGGGGCTGCCCCTGAAAGGGGCTGAGTGTTCGTGGGTACCAGCACCCCCTCTGACCCTGCGCCACCCCAGGACCCCGGCCCAGCCTGCCCTGTCCTTTTGCCAAAACACACACTCGGGTCTGCAGTGCCTGTGAGGGGACCTCTGGCTTCCGGAGTCAGAATCCGGGCCAGGCGCAGTGAGCACCTGGCGCCAGGGTCGGTCCTGCCCCGCCCCTGCATCCCGGGCTGGACCCCAGAGGCCCAGGCGAGGAGGGGCTGGGAGACTGACCACGTGCTCTGCCCGCATTCCAGCCCCTGATGCTGAGGTTCCAGGCCGCCCTGAAGAGCTACCTCCGCCGCCAGATCGAGAAGCTGACGCTGGAAGTCCGAGACCTGGTGCGTGCACGCTGTCCCGCCTGCCGCCGCCCGGCGCCCGAGTCCCCCTGACCCGGTCCCTCTCTCTGCCACAGGGCATGGCCACCAAGCGGAGCCGAGCCCAGAGGCAGGAGCTGGGAGTGGACCTCTACGGGGTCCAGCAGCACCTGGCCCGCCTGCAGATGCAGCTGGAGAAGAGCCACGACCGCCACTCTGTCGCGGCCTGCGCCCGCCAGCAGCGGGAGGAGGAGCTGAAGCAGGCCCGCGGGCTCTACACCAGGGCCTGCGAGGCCGCCAACGAGGAGCACAGGAAGCGTAAGGGCCGAGCCTCACCACGTCCCCCCGGCCTCCCCGCCTCCCCGGGCGACCCCGTGTGTGGTTGCGCCCCAGGGCCCGGCGAGGGCCGTCTCAGAACCCAGAGAAAAGCATGTCCGGGAGGGCGCCCGGCCATTTTGGAAAAGGGTTGCATGAATGTCTGAAACGGCACCCACTCGGGAAGCTGCCCCCTGGGGGGCCTGCACATCAGGGCACGCGCACCGTGAGGAGCAGGAGAGGCGGCTGGGCCGCCAAGCTCCAAGGTGGGCGTGTGCAGAAGGCCGGGGAGCGTGCGACCACAGGGCGTGGGCAGGTGCCGGCGGTTAGGTGGAGCCCATGGGGCACAAGGGCTTGAACGAGCTGCGGGCCCGTGGGTGGGGAGGCAGCCACTGAGGTAGGGGAGTCTGGTGGCTTCAGAGCGGACCAGAGGGCAGGATGAGGGCCCCTCACACGCCCGGTCGCTGCTGCAGTGACGAGACCCTGCTCAGCACGGTGGCCGTGCAGGGTCACTGGGAACAGCGACTTCTTCCACCTGCTGCACCCTGTGTTGGCATTGCTGCTCTTCTACATTTAAACATTCTAACTTTAGCCACATGCGTTTCTGTTGTAACGGAGTAAAGGACCTAAAAGAATCAGGAAGAGAAACCAATGGCGCGTCTGTCCCAGCGGTGGCCAGAAGGAAGCCCCGGGGCCCCCGGAGGACAGCGGGAGAGGCTACGCATCCAACACCACTCGCCTCCGACGTGGCCGAAAATGCCGGGAAGGAGAAAACAGGGCTTCTCCCTAAAGCAGGAACCAGCTGCATCGGCCCTCCAGGCACGACAGCCACCTGAAAGCGGGCGTGCCCTGCCTGCCGCACACCTCCGGGAGTGCCCCCAGCACCCCTCAGCAGGGGTTCCAAGTGTGGGTGGGCTTCTGGAAAGGTCTAAGCATCTCCGCCGACTTTGTGTCCTTTCTGGAGGCGGCCAGGCGGCAGAAGCAGAGGCTGCCCCAACCGAGCTCGGGTCCCGGCGAACGGCATCATCGGTTCTGCCGCCCTGGCCCTGCCCCCCAGCGTGGCCACTGTGTCCCTTTGGTCAACAGGGAGCTTTGCCACTGAACAAAGCCCATGGCCGCCGGCCTCACCTGGGAGGGAGGTGGAGCCCAGCAGTCACCGAAACCTTCCCATCAGAGGGTGAGCCATCGTGGCGGCCAGCACGCAGGAGGGGGGGCCGCTTGTCAGACACAGCAGCCAGTGCCCGGCAGACCCGGCCCCCGAAACAGAGCAGGGCCCCCGCTGGTGCTCTGGGCAGCTCGTCCGTCGGATGAGACCGAAGTGCCGGAGAAAGGGGCGCTTGGGATTTAAAAATAATCGTCAGCCAAGAGAAGGCATTAAGCGTTCAGATCAGTGCTGTGAAAACAGAACACAGAAACGGAAAAGCTGGTTTGAGAGGAATTCTCCCCAAAGTTCAGGGCAAACACCCCAAGCGATGGGTGTTTTGAGAAAGACAGAAGGTCGGCAGGTCTGGGAATGCAATATTCCCAAGAGAAGAATCCCAGAAGATTAGGGGCATTGGCAGAGGACCTCAGGAAAACATTCGCTGGAATTCAAGAGACTCGCGTGTTCAGGGGCAAAGACTCGTGGGGGCCTGGCAGGGGGCAGGGGTGATGAACCTGCGTAGACAGTCAGTGTGTTTCCAAATTCCAAAGGCATGGGGGGGGGGATGCGGTGGGCTGGGAGAGAGGACGGCACTTCCCCGGCCACTCAACCCTCCGTGGGCGGGAAACTGGAGAGCTGCCTCCCAGGCCCATTTGACGAGGCTCGGGACAGCCGGCCACGCCGGAAACAGACGACTGTGAAGCCGACCCTCTTGGGAGGCGTCAAAGTCCTGGATAAGCACGAGCGAATAGTAAACGTTAGTTCAGCAACAGGAGATTAAATGCTACGATATATTAAAAGAAAAATACCATTCAGCCAAGAAGGGCCTATTTCTGGAACAGTTTGCAATCAGGAAACATACTAGTTTAACGTGCTACATTCATCCGTTAAAGGAGAGGGAAGACCTTTCAAGGCGTGTATGATGAAGCCCAGGGCGCACCGGGACTGGGGCAGAAGGACAGGCCTTGGTAACTATGTATCGGGAACCAGCAGGGAGCCTACCGCGGCTCCAAACCCGGGAGCGGAGCGCGCCCGCCGGCGCCCCTGCTGGCCGCGGGAGGAACTCGCCCCACCGGCTTCCTTCCCCTTGGCCCCGGAGGGAATCTCCGGCGGGAGGAAACGCTCTGCTTTAAAAGGGCTCGCCCGCTCCCGCCAGGCCCACCTGAAGGTTCCCCTTCTGCCACACGGGGGTCACTCCTGGAATCGATTCATTCCCCGGAGTGACGCTGGGGCCGAAGGTGGCGGGAGCCACTGGAAAATCTGCCCGCCCTGCGCACTCCCCACAAGGAGCCGTGGGCAGCCAGGCGGTGGCAGTCCGACGTCCCGGCAGAGGCGCGGGCGGTCGGGGAGGACCAGGGCGGCCGGCCCTGACCCCCTGTCTCCGCAGTGGCGGCCCTGCACGCCGAGATGGAGAGCCTGGCCCTGAACGTCTTCTACATGCAGAACGTGGACCGGGACGTGCAGGGCGACATCCTGGTGATGACGCAGGTGGTGAAGAAGTCGCAAGCGGAGCGCGCGCGGGCCGAGCTGGAAAAGAAGCAGCAGGTACCGAGCGCCCCGGCCCTCTGGCTCCTGGGGGGCACCCCGTGGTGCCCCTGGTGAGAACCCCACCGCCTGGAGAGGCCGGGCCGGCCTCGGGGTCAGCCCCTCGGGCCGCGGTCGGGCCCTGAGAGGCCTGCGCCTGGTCTCGTTCCCCAGGACCTGCACGTGGACCGGCTCACCGCCCGGGCCCACGAGCTGGAAGAACAAGTCGCCCTGTTCGAGGCTCAGCACGTCACCCAGGCCGAGGACACCCAGCTGCTCCGGAAGGCCGTCAGCGAGGTGAGAGCGACCCCCGCAGAAGTGCCCGTGGCCCAGGGGTCTGTCGAACAGGAGTCACCGAGCTCTGAGTCTCGTCAGCATCTCAGAGCCTCGGGCTGGCCCTGTGGGGACGGAGCAGGGACCGGCTGAATGAGATCCAGCGGCTGTTCCTCCCGGGAACTGTCCCTTTGTGCCGTGCCTGCTGGGCGGCCCCTCAGCCAGCACCCTCGAGGTGGTACAGCTCCTCGGGGTGGGCGGAAGCCTCTCCAACAAGCTCAGGCCCGGGTAGCGCCCACATCTCCGCTCCGATTGTGGGGGGCAGATGCCACGTGGCACCCAATTCCGGGGCCCACACTAGAGACTGAAGCCACAGGGACACAGGGAGGGACCGGCCACTGTCACTGAGGGAGGGAAAGGCCCGGGGGACCGACTGCTGCCCCCCTCCCAGCCTGGAGGTAAACTTAGTCCAGGTGTGTGTGTCCCGGTCAGAATTCCAGAAAACGAGGCTTTTGTCTGGCAAAGCAATTCTGTAGTTTATCTGGAAAATAACTTCAGAAGACCAGCCAAGACTTGCTTTGGAAGGGAAGGTTCGAGAAGGGTGACCGGCCGCCCCAGTGTGAGCCCCACGGCCGGGTTTCCAGAGACCTGGGACTTGCCTCAGCTGGACAGTGCCGGGCACACCGGGACCCCAGCGGCGCCTGGGGGCCAGCATCGCGGGTCTCTGAAAATGCCGTGGGTCGTAAATTACGGAGAAGGGGCGGCTTACACACCCCACGGTGTCGGGCCATGTGGGTAATCATTTGGGGGGAAAAAATTAGACTTTTTCCTCATACCAGACACTAAAATAAATTCCAGATGGGATCAAGAATTTAAGTGGGGAAAATGTAGCACGGGAAAAGAAAAGAAAACTACTTCTAAACTCCTGGGCCGGAGAGGGCTTCCTCAGCGTGACCCGGGAAGCAGGCGCTGGGAGGGAACAGCTGTCCCGCGAGGACGCGGCCTCGGGGTCGGTGGGTTGGGGCGTCACCAACGAGGCAGGAAGACCCGGGCAGGCCAGACGTCACCCGCGCCAGGGGTCAGCTCCCCGAGCCCCCAGGTCGTTCTAGGTCAACAGCAAACATTTGCTGACGTGGAAACCCACTCACCATATGCTGGTAGCTAACAGGAAATCACGAGCCGACACGGAGAACATGGTGACGCACGCGGGCATGCACACGGGGGAGGTGGCACTGGGCATCAGAGGCAGTAAACTCTGCAGGGGGGCTCAGAGGCGGTGTCATTTTCTTTTTGCTTACTGTGTAGAATCAACACACTTCTTAATTTTTAAAAAATGTCTCCATTTTAGAGAGAGAGAGAGAGGCAGAGGGTGGGGGAGAGAGAAACTTCGACTTTGCTTGTTCTGTTTATTGGTGCATCATTGGTTGGTTCTTGTGTGTGCCCTGGCCGGGGATTGAACCTGCAACCCTGGTGCATCGGGGCGACGCTCTAGCCCACTGAGCAACCTGGCCAGGGCCACAAACTTTTGAAGAACTGAGGTGGGTGTTTAAAATACTTGAAGCATGGCTTCGGCCAAGGTCTTCGCAGCCCAGCCTGCGCCTGGGCTCCAAGGCCCACCCGCCGTGTGGGGCCTGGTGGGCAGCAGGCGTCCACCCAGCTCGGCCCCCCCTCTTTCCCCAGCATCGAGCCCACGGCCCGGCCCCGAGCAATGGCTTGGGCGGGGTCCAAGGAGCCGGTAGAGCCGAGTCTCATTTCATGTTTCTCCTCTTGCTGGATTGAAAGAAAAGGGCGGGGGGGGTGACGGGGAAGGGAGAGAGTGCTGGCAGCCCGGGCTTCGAGCCTGGCGTGTGGGCACAGCGTCCCCTCCCGGCCACAGGCCTGCGCGGAGATCGAGGCCATCGGCGTGGAGAAGAGGCGGATCCTGCAGCAGTGGGGCGCCTGCCTGGGGGGCATGAAGTGTCGGGAAGACGCGTACCAGACCGTGCAGGAGGCGCTCAGGTACGGCGCGCACAGGGCCTCTCGCGGCACTCCCCGGGGGCCCACGGCGAGGGGCCCAGCTGTCATTGAGCCCTGCTGGGCCCACCTGGTCCCAGGTGAGCAGGCCCCCCAGGACAAAGGAGGCACCTGCAGCCCCACTTCCGCCCCGAAAGCTCCCTCATTGTCACCAAGATTTCAGCGATTCTTTAGTCCTTTCAAACTTCCCCAGGCCCCGGAGCAGCGGGCTTTCCTGCTCAGATTTCCTGGAGGATTAAGGAGACTGGAGGAGGAAGAGAAAGAGGTGTTTATCTGCAGGAGATAAGGTGTCCCTTTGATTCGGGGCCTCGCCACCTGTGCGCGGAAACCCCATCCCGCTGGATTGTTCAGTGCGGGGCTGCGTTCCAGCCAGAATCCCGTTTAATCTCCCCGCCCGGGGGAGGAAGAGGCCCCCGCTCTGTTACTTCTCGCCAGGGTGGGCGTCTTCTGGGGCCAGGTGTTGGGGGGGAGGCTCTGGGCACAGCGCTGCCTTAATTCCCCAAGTCAGCCAGGTGATGGGGACCCACACGTGACATCCCGGCAGTGTGCCGCTCACCTGCGTGGCTCCTACTTGGTCCCCACTGCTGGTGCCGGCCCAGAGCCTGGCAGAAGACAGAGGCCCGAGAAAGACTCACTAACCAGGGAACAAACTGCGGCCCGTGGCTGGCTCCATTGTCCAGTCCCTGGTGCCTCCAGGACCTGACCCAGAGTGTCACCCACCCCCCACCCAGCCTCGTCTCCCAGCTGTTCCTGGAGAGAGCACCCAATGAAACGTGTCCCCAGACACAGGGCCGAGGCGAGGCGGCCGGGACTGCTCCGGTGGTGTGGCCAGTCCTACCCGGCTCAGGGGCAGGTCCCCTCCTCATTCTCAGATGGTCTGGCGCTCGGGACACGGTCCTGCACCCACCAGTTCTGGTTCCAAGAAAAAAGAAGTTTTTCTTTTATTTTGAACGCTGTGATTTTTGTTCTCGTGGTCTTTATTTTTTAAGATTTTATGTAATTCACTTTTAGAGAGAGAGGGGAAGGGAGGGGAAAGGAGAGGGAGAGAAACAAGCACAAGAGATGCATCAACTGGCCGCCTCTCGCGCGCCCCCTACTGGGGATCCAGCCTGCAGCCCAGGCCTGTACGCTGACCAGGAATCGAACCTGCCACCTTCCAGTTCGCAGGCCAGTGCCCAGTCCACTGAGCCACACCAGCCAGGGCTCAAGAAAGTGTTTTTAAAGTGTGTTTTTTAAAAATCATTTTTTATCGAGAATAAGTGATCACATCACAGGACATTTGAAAACCCAGGTACAGGATTTTAACATGCTGCTGTCTCCCCTTTTGTGGCAGTGACACTCTGTTGGTGTTAGACCCTCAAGGGCCATGGAGGGAGGCAGGTGGGAAGGGCAAAAGACTCCCCTGCAACGATCCAAATTCCACCGCATGGGGCCTGTCCTCCTTAACTCGACATTCGTCACAGACATTTCCATGGCCAGCTGCTGAGGGGGGACCCGTCGAATTTGAGGTGACAGCCACCAAGGGGTGAGGTGAGCCACTGTCCCTTCAGTGTTCGCATCTTTAAAACTGGGACAGCCCTGGCTGGTGTGGCTGAGTGGACTGAGCGCTGGCTGGCAAAGCAAGGGGTCTCCAGTTCGATTCCCAGTCAGGGCACATGCCTAGGTTGTCAGCCAGGTCCCCAGTAGGGGGCGCTGGAGAGGCAACCACACATTGATGTTTCTCCCTTCCTCCCCCTCTCTCTGAAGATAAATAAACAAAATCTTTGAAAACAAACTGGGACAGCACTTGCCCGGCAGGTGTAACATGACCACAGGAGACAGGCCTCTGGTGCCGGCTTCCTCCCCACCCTCCCCCACTACGCAATCTTAAACTCGCTCTAGGCGCGGGTTCGAAGTGGGTCGCAGTTCTACCACGGTGTCGGCAAGCAGCAGTTGAGGCCCGGCTGCCTGTGCAAACGTCGGTGTCCTTCTCCCCCCCCCCCGCCCCGGGGTGGGGATGGCCACGAGCCCCCGGTCCTGGCCTGACGGACGCGCTAGCTTTGCTTTCGTTGGGCAGCGAGTGCGGGCACCAGCTGAAGTCCCTGGACAGCGAGGTGGAAGCCTACAAGAAGTCCATCGTGCGGGAGGAGGAGAAGAACGAGCGGCTGGCGGGCCTGCTGCACCGGGCGCAGACGGGGGCGGCCCTGACGCAGAAGCTGACTGCGCAGTGCCTGACCAGGCAGGAAGCGCTGCAGGGGCAGGTCAACACCTACCGGCTGGTGCTGCAGGACACGGAGGACGCGCTGGGCCGGGCCCAGGCGGAGCGCACGGCGGCCATGGGCGAGCTGCAGGCGGCCCGCCAGGCCATCCGGCAGGAGCTGGACCTGCGCAGGAAGCTGGACACCTGCATCCTGGAGAAGCTGCAGGAGCAGGTGACCTCCAACAAGATGACCAAGTACTTCCACCAGCTCATCCTGAAGCTGCAGAAGGAGAAGACCAACCTGGTAGGTGCCCCGCCCCCGCCCCCCGTCCCCACCGCCTTGAGGGAGGGCGCCCCCTGGGGACCCCACCGGCACCATAGCACAGACCGCATGGGGGCGGGGCCTCGTCGTATTGCGTCACATTCCACTCTCTGTAGCCATGAGAAGAGCAGCCGACCTCTCTGTCCTTGGAAAAGCAGTTCTTTGTGCAAATTGTTTCTCCTTCGCCTGTTCCCATGCTGTGACCCTGTTGAAGGCCCCGCCTCTGTGGACCTCATTCCCTCAGACAGGGTCCCAGCGGGGGAAGGGGGGGCAGGGCAACCCAGCTGGGTCTCAGGGGGACAGGCGGGTCCCCTCCGTGGGTCTGCAGAGCGGCCGCATGTGAACCAGGAGTGCACACCCGTGCTTTTCGGCCCCTCGGGAAGGTTCTGCCCGTGTGCCTCCAGCCCAGGCCTTTCGTGGGGTGGCAGGTAGCAGAGCCCAGGTGGAGGTCCCAGGCGTTCCGCACGCGGCCCTTGCGGGACCCTGGGCCTCACTGGCACGTTCTTCCTGGGCAGGAGACCCCCACAGGTGTCAGAGGGTCCGCTCTGGCCGTTCACAGAATTTGAGCACAATATCTGGGGAGGCCCGAGGCAGCGCCCCCTGGAGGTCACTGTTGTTGAGGCAGCCTGCAGCCCAGCTGGTGGGAGTGGCTTGTCCTGTGGCCAAGGGGCTGGGTCGCCGGCTACCTGGTGGCTGCCTGTAGCCACTTCACCACCCCCGGACACCTGGGAGGGGGGCAGCTGTCCTGGCTGTGCCAAGGACGGGGGACACGGGACTGGAACCAAGCCTGTGAAAAGCTGGATCTCCTTGGGACGTCCTGGTGGGAGTCCCACCAGGTCGTTCTCTGGGAGTTGGGGGCAAGACCAGCAGCTGAGAGCAAACGTGGGGACCCTGGGGTGCACTGCAGGGGCTAAGGAGTGTGGTGGATGTGAAGCCACCTGTCCGACCTGGCTGCGGCACCTCTGAAGCCCGTCCCCAGACCCCTCCCAGCCTTACCCTGTCCTCCAGCTGCCCAGGAAGCTCACACATGTACTACCACCAATGTCCAGAAGAGGGCGGTAAAGAGTCTGCCCGGAAACCCCTGGGGGCCGGCGGCGGGCCTGGTGGAGCCAGTCTGGGGCAGAGGCCATGGGTGGACTGAATTCCCTGGGGCTGGGGGTCCGGAGGGAACGTGGGCGCCGCTCAGTGGTGGGGTCTGGGCAGTGCATTCAGGAGCTGTACTGATGTCCCAGAGGCCTGGAGAACGGCCTAGGAGCCGTGGCTGGGTGCGGAGCGCCAGGGCAGAGGGGAAGGTAGACCCTGTGAAGACCGCAGGGTGGCCTGGTGATCGCGGACGAGCTTGGCAAAGGAAGGGACGGGCGGGGCAGGCCGAGCTCAGAGGGCAGGAGGGCCCAGGGGTGGCCTGGCAGGGCGCCGGTGACTGCAGATGCTCGAACCTTCTGCTCCAGGGGGCAGGGCCTGGCTCTGAACCCTAGAAATGTTGAGTGTCCTGGACAGTCACCCACTGTGGCCGGTCAGACAGTGCCTGTGGACAGAACTCTTCAGGGTTCAGGAGAGAAGCCCAGGTGGCTGGGATGAGAGGGGCTGGGAATTGGGGGGAGCCTGGGAGGCAGGCTGGGAGGGAGCTGAGACTCCGGGTGGGCGGCAAAGGCCGAGGGGCTGGCCGGTAGGGTCAGGGCAGAGCCACCGCCACGGAAAAGGACCCGTTTCCAAGTGAGCAGCCTCCGTGCCTGACTCGCACAAACGCCTTTGTGATAAACCCGCGTGGCGTCACAGGGGGGACCCGAGTGCACCTGTCTTCTGAGAGCCCATGGAGGGGGCAGGAGGCTCAGAGCCTCAGGCCGGCAGAGCCACAGGCCGGCCGGCAGAGCCACAGGCCGGCCGGCAGGCCTGCGATGCCATCCGGCCCCACCCTTTAACCCAGGTGGCGAGCGTCCCCAGGTCGCGTGCCTCCGGCTGGGTGCTGGACACGCCCACCGTAGGGCCCTGTGTTTCAGGACCGCGTCCAGCTCTTTGGTAAAAGGGACGTTTGCCCCATGAACACAGATGAGAAGCCGAGTGTCTGCCACGGTTTTATTTATTTATTTATTTAAGGTTTTATTTATTTATCTTTAGGGGGGAAGGGGGGAAGGAGAGAGGGAGAGAAACATCAATGTATGGTTGCCTTTCGTGCGTCCCCTGCTGAGAACCGGCCTGCCACCCAGGCATGTGCCCTGACTGGGAATCGAACCGCGATCGTGTGGTTCGCAGGCCTGCGCCCAATCCACTGAGCTACACCAGCCAGGGCTGCCACGGTGTTATTTAGAGTGGGAACGTGGGTGACGGCCTGCCGACCCACAGAGGCTAGGCCCCTTGGTTTCCTCCGCCGAAGCAGGCGGACCACCGACAGCAGGGACGGGGCCCTCCCGGACACTGGCGAGGGGATGGAGGTGTGCCCGCCCCGGCCGTGACTCCCACCCCAGCCTCCGTTAACGAACACCATGACCAGGGCCTGGCACGGCCGTCCAAAATGGGGGGACAAGAATCCAAGGCGAGACTTATCGCATCAAAAAGTGGCTCATGCCCTGGTCAGGCGGCTCAGTTGGTTGAGCGTCATCCTGTACACCTGAAGGCTGTGGGTTCGATTCCCTGTCAGGGCCGATGCCCACATTGCAGGTTCAGTCCTTGGTAGGGGCGCAGGCAGGACGTGACCGACAGATGTTTCTCTCACACATCAGTGTGTCTCTCTCGGCCTCGCTCTCTCTAAAATCAATAAATTTTTTTAATCTGTGAGATAAAAAAAGGGGGTTTACAAGCCTCTGTGCGGAGCATGACCCTGCAGCAGGGCAGGAGGGACGGACGGGTTCCAGGCGGTGGCGTGGCCCACCCCGTGGCAGGGCCGGGGGCGATTTCCTCACCTGCGTTCGTGCCCTTCCGGCCACGAGTGTTACCGTCCGTTTAAGAAGAAACGATAACGTTACTTTCTTTGTTGTGAGCGGCCGTCAGGGGCCAGGAGACCAGCACCTCCTGCCGTGCTGGTGACAAAAGGAACGATGACAATGACGACGCTGTGAGGAGCCTTCCAGGGAGACCCCGTGCTCGGACGTGTTTCCTTCTGCTCCTTCAGGTGACACATCTTTCCAAAATCGAAGGCGACATCGCCCAGGCCACGCTGGACAGCACGAACACGGCCTGCAGGCTGCAGGCGCACCGAGCGGCGCTGGCCGAGCTGGACCGGGAGGTGCAGAGGGTGAACGACCTCATCGGCAACAGCGAGAGCGAGATCTGCCGGCGCACGATCCTCATCGAGCGGAAGCAAGGCCTGATCAACACTCTCAGCAAGGAGCTGGAGCAGATGGTCTCCGAGCTGGGGGTAGGGCCGGGGGCCGGGCCCCGGGGGGCCGCTGGGTGCGCCTGGCCGTTTCGGGAACATCTCATGGTTAGAAACGAACCCCCGGGGACTACGCCCCTCCTCCACCCGTCCCTCGGGGGAGCAGCTCCGGTGTGCGAGGCTCCAAGGCGGAGTCGGCAGCCTTCCCCGTCCGGGGCCAGAGAGGGACTATTTCAGGCGTCTGGGGGCCGGGCCGCTCGCCTCTGAGTGGACAGATGTGGCTGGGGCCCATCTAGGTTTGAGGCTGGAAGTCCCATAGGTTTCCCAGGTGCCCTGACCTGAGGACCCCAACTTGGGCCTCCAGCCCCCGAGCACTCTCTCCAAGCCACGCCTGGTGGGTTCCCAGGGAAGGAAGTCCTGAGTGGGACCGTCTGCTGGGAAAAGACCATTTGCGATGTCCCATGGCTGAGCAAGGCCCCGCCCACCCGGCCCCCTGGCCCCACACGGCTGTGGCACGGTGGGACCCCCCCAGCAGTGGGGACCAGTGTCTCCCACAGCAGGTCAGGAGCATGTGGACAGGGCCCTGGTGGGAGCGCAGGGTGCCCGGGGTCCAGCCCACCCAGAAAGCAGGCCTCGGCCAACGGAGGCTCGTTTTGCCTTTTGGCGAATTTCCTCCCAGGGGGAAGAGCTGGGGCCCCTGGAGCTGGAGATGAAGCGGCTGCACAGGCAGCTGGACGAGCAGGGCACAGAGGTCACGCAGGCCCAGGCCAGCTGGCTGCGGCTGCAGCAGGACATGGTCAAGGCCTCGCAGGAGCGCGAGGAGCAGCTGGCCTCCCTGCACCTGCTGCGGAAGGAGGTCCACATCCTGGAGCAGAAGAAGCTGCGTATCGAGAGTGAGGGCCTCGCGCTCGGCACTTGGTGGCTCCGCGGCCTGGGGGAGGGTCCTGTCCGGGGTGGGGCAGTACTGCCCAGCAGGCACTGTCGGTTTTCACGAAGCCTCGGAGGCAGACCGGTGGTGCTCACAGCTCAGGTTGAGAGTGTGGCCATGGCCTGGCCTGCAGCGCCCTAACTGGCAGGCGGTTTGCAGGCGCGGTGCAGGCGATTGGGGAAACACACTGACTTCGTTAGGTGAGGGCCTTCGGGGCGCTGCCAGAGACAGTCCCTGGAGGGGCGCCCTCCCCCCAAGACGCAGCGGGGGCGGCTCAGCTGAGATAGCCAGCTCGCTGCTGGTCCCTGGGCTGGTCTCCTGCCCAGGGGGACGGCGGGACCTCGGGCCCCCAACTCGGGGCTTCTGGAAGAGAATCCTTCCTCCTCTGTGGCTGAGCTTAGAAAACTGTCCCACTGGCCCCCCGGTCTTTGTCTCACCCCAGGCTGTGTCTAAATCCTGGGGGTCGGCCCATCCCAGGGTGTCCAGGGTGGGCAGGCATCCCTCCTGGGTGCCATCTGCCCGACGGCCACCTGCTGAGGTGTCCTGGTCCCGTTGGCCCCATCTGGTTTCTGACCCAGGATCTGTGCAGGTCGGCCCAGCCACGTGGCCCCTGTGGCTGCTGCCCAGTGGTCCGGGCTCCTTGCACCTGAGCAGTGCTGCCACCTGCTGGCCCTGACGTGGGCGCCAAGCCTGCCTGTTGGAGACTCAGGCCGTGGTGTTCTGCCTGTGGCCACGGAGCTTGGAGGGGCACTGTGGGCAGGGGCAGGGTCCCCACCTGTCCCGCCGTGCCCAGAGCCTGTGTGTCCTGCTCCCGTCATGCCCGCACCTGCTGGTCGCTGTGCCTGGGTCCTTCCCGAGCCTGGAAGGGACAGGCTTTGGAAACCAAGCAGCCAGAAGGGACCCTGTCCCTCTCCCCTGGCCCTGGGGGGACGGGATGGGGGAGGGGGTGCCCAGGGGACAGTGGGGCAGGAGGTGAGCCGTGGGGAGACACGGGCCTGCTCACCAGTCCTTGGGACCTGCCCCCCCCCTACTCCCTGGGTCCCCGCTGTCTGCCACAGACAAGATCAACCAGGAGAAGAAGGAGCAGAAGGACATTGAGCGGCACCTGAAGGACCTGGACAACGACCTGCGGAAGCTCAACGTGCTGCTGAGCAAGAACCGGAGCAGCTCGGCCGACCTGCAGCAGGACAACCTGGTGGCCGAGAGCGAGTTCGTGCAGGCGCTCAAGGTCAGTTCCCGCCGCCCCCCAGGGCAAGGGCGGGCGGGTGGGCGGGAGGGCCCGGCTGTGGGCACCCGGGTGTGTGCCCCCGAGTCCGCCGCACAGCTGCTCCCCTGCCCCCGCAGGCCTCGGAGCGGGAGACCATCGAGATGCAGGAGCGGCTGGACCAGCTGACAGAGGAGAAGGCGTCCACCCTCAATAGCCTGGTGGAGGCTGAGTGAGTGCCGCGCCCACCCCGCCCCTGCAGGGCCCACAGAACCCCCTCCCGGGCTGGCCGACCCCAGACACAGCTGGCCAGGACTGGGTATCGCTGACAATAGAGCAGGTTTTGTTGAGATGAAGTTTTTTTTTAATTACATTGTTTGATACCTGATGTAAAGCAACCCATGCTAACATTTCAGTAGCCTGCCCAGGGTTTCTGCTGCTGCTTACGTCAACTTCCGTCCTTGGGTTCACCGTCCTTGGCTCCTCCTGAAGTTGCCCGTTCCACTGTCTCTCTCTGTGTCTGTCTGTCTGTGTCTGTGTGTCTCTGTCTGTCTCTCTGTGTTTCTCTGTCTCTTTAGGCCACAGGTTTGTCTATTTCCAGGGCTGGCAAAACTTTTCCTGGAAGAGCTGGGCAGCAGCTACTCTTGGCTTTTGGAGCCATACGGTCTCCGTGGAAGCCCCAGACTCTCGGGTCACGGCTCACACACAGCCACAGACGCTCCGTGCGTGAGCAGGGGGCTGGCTGTGTGCCCGTCGGGGCTTGGATTTCACACTCTGTCCTGTGCCCGCTCTGGGAAGCGGGCTGTGTGTTTTCCGCTCAGGGCACCACCACTCACGGTCAGGCACACCGCAGCCGCGGTGGCTGGGCCGCCGTGTTCAGGCCCGAGAGGCCAGCCTGGGAGCCCCACCTGCCCCCCCACCCCCGGGTGGTGGGGACGGGAGATGCCACTGGCAGCACCGTGTCTGGGGACAGCGGCTCCAGGGGCGGGGAACGGAGAGGAGGAGGAAGGCAGGGAGCGGCAGGGCCTGGTCCCCCAAAGGGGGAGCTTGGTTCTTATTTACCAGACACGTCCTTCGCCGTGCCTGGGTAGAGAAATGCGCCAACGGCCCCTCGATGGTTAGGGTTAGGCGGGGGTCTCCCAGAGTGACCACACGGAATTGCACACATGGGCCCTCCTGCCCAGCCGGCCCAGCACTGCGCCCACCTCCCCCCAGGCCTGACCTCCAGCCCCGCAGCGGGGCCCCTGGGGGTGGAGGGAGGCCTCAGAGCCGGAGCTCAGAGCAGCTGCAGCAGGAAAGCTCTGGAGACCCTGGGCCCTCACACGGCCTCGTCTCCTTCCCGAGACACCAGATCATGCTCTGGGAGAAGAAAATCCAGCTGGCCAAAGAGATGCGCGCCTCGGTGAGCTCGGAGACCGGCCAGACGGAGGTCCGCGCCATGAGGGCCGAGATCCACAGGATGCAGGTGGGTGGGGGGGTGTGGAGGCCGGGGGGGCGCCGGCCTCACCTCGGCAACCACGGTGTGTCTGTGCCAACGGAGAAGGTTCCCTGGGACCGTCCGATGACCCAAACTACAGACGAACCAGACTCCGCCGGGGTCGGGCTAACGTCCTTCTTCTGGTCTAGCCCTGGGCTGCGTGCGGTCCTCGTGTGGCCTGACATCCCCGGTGTCACCCTGTCCCCTTTCATTCTCCACGCGGACCCTAACGTGACTCTGTCCAGCGGACCGGGCGTGCAGACCCCTTGTCTTCCCGGGGCATCTCCCCACCGGTCCCTGCGGGTGTGGGGCAGCGACCAGCCCCCCACCTGCCCCTCAACCTCGTGTGCGCAGGTCAAGCACGGGCAGCTGCTGAAGCGACAGGAAAGGATGATCCGAGACATGGAGCTGGCCGTCACCCGCAGGGAGACCATCGCCACCCAGGCCGAGGGGCAGAGCAAGAGGGACAAGAAGCTGGTCACCCGGACCGACTTCCACCACAAGCAGGCAGAGCTGCAGCGGAAGCTCAGGGACCTTCACAAAGTAGGGAGCCTGCCGGGGGCGGCCCGTCCGCAGGCTGGTGTCCACCGGTCCCCCTCCCTCCGGGTCGGCAGGGGTCACGAGCCTCACTCGCTGGTGGGCATCACTGGTGGGCATCACTGGCCTCTGCGGAGCGGTCCGCGGCATGGGCTTAGCTGGACTCACCCCCCCGTGCCAGCTGGCTCGCAGACCCCGAGGGGCGGGGCTGTCTTTGCCCTCCCTGGGGGTCCTCCCCTGTGGTGCAGGGAAGGCTCGCCAGGGCCCCGCTTCCCTCTGTCCGCGGGCCAGCAGACACGGGAGGAGCCCGTCTGTCCCCTAGGCCACCGAGGTGTGCAGCAACCATGTCCTGGAGCTGGAAGAAACCCAAAAGCGCATGAGCGCCTCTCTGGTGGAGAAGCAGACGCAGCTGTCTGCCATGCAGACGCAGACCGAGGAGCTGGAAGCCAACCTGGAGCAGCTCGCCACCCTCAAGCGACAGGTAAACAGGCCCCAGGCCCCCCGGGGCCACGAAAGTGCAGGCTGCGGGGTCTCCCCAAGGAGCAGCAGGCCCGGCCTCCTGCTGACCAGCTGAGTCCGCCTGGTGGTGGCACCGCCAAGTGCTTGGTGACCTTCCATCTGTCTCACACGCATTAGGCTCCGGCCGTGGTCCGGGCACAGCCCTGGGAGCCAGGGCTGCCGAGTGGGACAGAACAGACCCCTCTCCCCGAGTTCACGTTCTGGGAGCAGGAGGACAGGTGGTAAAGTCAGAGAAAAGCCATCAGGTGTTAGAGGTGGCAGATGCAACGGAGAAAAATAAACAAAAACAGAGTGGGGTGGAATCGCACTTTTCAGCAGGGGGCTCAGAGGACAGGACATTGGAGTCGGGCCCCAGGAGGCCGGGGGAGCCGGCCGCCCCAGGCAGAGGGAACAGAGGGCCAAGCTGGAGCCCGAGGTTGCTCCGAGCCACCAGGGGCTGCGGGCTGGACTGCAGGGAAGCCAGGCCCCCTTGGGGGACCACGATGGTGACTTTGGGCTTTTCCCTCTGGGCTGGTGCCGGGCTGAGGTGGCCGAGTCAGCAGGACCACGGGCTCTAAGGTTGAGGGAGGAGCAGAGGGTGGCAGGTGGACATGGGGGCCTCTCAGAGGCCTGAGGCCCTGCCGTACAGGGCCACCGCCCACTGTTGGGCCAGTGGGCGGCACTCCGAGGGCACACAGATCAGAGTCGTCCCAGCGGGATTGCCCGTGAGACGGGGCGGTGTGAGCGGAAGAGGGTCAGGCAGGACTGGGGACTCTGGGGCTGGTCGGCCGGGACCGGGAGACAGCAGAGGGAGCCCCTCGGACAATGGAGGAAGGCTCTACCCCAGCCTCGTCCCCTAGACGTGGGGACCTGTGCCTCCTGCCGTCCCTGTCCTGGGAGGCTCGGCCCTGTGTCATTTTTTCGAATCCGGGTTTGTGTGGGGAGTCGGCGGGCGTCCTCTCTATACTTTCCCAGCCTGACACGGGGTCTCTTGTCCCACCCAAGAAACTCTGCCAGCTGGTGGCCATGCAGACACGCTTGAAGCACCTGCAGGCCGTAAGGGAAGGCAGGTACGTGTTTCTGTGCCGCTCCAAGCAGTCAATAACGGAGGAGCACAGGCGCCTGGACAGCCGGCTGGCCACCATCGGCACCATCCTGGACCTGGTGTGGGAGGAGCACCCCCAGTTCCAGCAGGCCCTGCTCAAGCTCAGACAGGCGGTGGCCAGCAAGCTGGGCGCCCCCAGGCCCTCCCTCTAGGAGGCAGCCTGGCCTGCGCCTCCCAGGCCGGCCCCCGGGGGACAGGCAGTGATTTCATGTGTCACCAGGGGCCTAGGATCTCTCTGTGTCGTGAAAGCTGTGTCTGCCCTCAGAGAATGACACCAATGACGAGAAACACATAGGTCAGCACTGCGGGAATTGTTTCCAGCCACCCACCAGTTTAAACCAAGTCAAGTCCCAATGTTCCCAGTCGCACCTGCACCTAGTCCAGTCTTCCCTTCGCAAAGGCAGCACCTGCGGATGCAAACCCTGTCCCCAGGCTGCACGTGCTCCCCCGAGTGAGCGCCCACAAGGGCGCTGGGCTCCCTCCTCACCTGGGCTGCCGCCTGCTCTGTCGGTGGGTGAGCGGAGAGGGGGCCCCCCCGAAGAGCTGGAGTGTGGGGCCCTCGGGCCCCAGTGCCTCTGTTAGGGTGCACCGCAAGACCCACCTCTCATCGCAGCTCGCCCGCTCCCATCTCCCAGAGAACTGGGGTCCCTCCTCTTAAATCCCGATTCTCAGCTCAGGGGACAAAGTTGAAGGGCAGTGACCGCCTGGAGCTATTTACCGAGACCTGGTGACTGCAATGCGCCCCAGCACAGTGGGTACACACTGGGCCTGTGCCCGGTCTGCCTGCTGGTCCCGCCTTCAGCATCACCTGAGTGTCCTTGTCCCACACCCATTTCCTGAGTAACTAACTGTTGGTGCCTGTGGCTTCTCTGTAGTGTAAAGGGAACACATTCTACAACATAATTTCACTTTAAAACTTTTCACCAGGAAAATAAAATCTTTTTTCTGAATATGGAGGAAGTCGTCTTTATTCTAAAGCAATAAAGACAAAAACCATGAAGAAGCCGGAGACGCCGGAAGTTCCCCGAGGTGCGTGCCCGCGCCTTGCTGGTGACCGCTCCGCCAGGACGAGACCCCACTGGGTTCAGCTTCGAGTTTCCCTCTGAGAAGCTCGCTCCTCTAAACAGAATTTTCTCACTGTATAAAAAACTCCTTGTGAATGTCAGTTAACGTTTTCACCATAGCCGACTTTCTAGGCAACGTTTTCCTTTGCTGAGTAAGTTTCTAAGTTTAAGTTGCGTAATTAAAGTTGTTTCCAACTGTTCTCTCTCTGCCATTGCGGTGCCGAGCACCTGTGCCTGCCTCTCAGGCCAGACTGGCAGGAGGGGAGCCCCTGGGCCGCCTGGCCCGCTGCCAGGGAACCTGACAGTCGCGAGGGCGTGCTCGCGGTGGGTGTCGCCCCTCCCCCGACCCGAAACACATCGGAGCGCAGCTGTGGAGAGCTGCTGTGCCGAGCCAGGTGCGCGCCGCTCACCCCTCCCACATTCCAGGTGCGCAGCTGGAGGAGAGCGAGGATGGCACAGGCTGCCCGGCTCGCCCCTCCACTAGGCGGCGCACGGCCAAAGGAGCGCATCCTCATCCAGGGCGCCTGTGCAGAGTCTGGACTCGTGATCCGCTGCCCCGCCTGCCTAGGCGGGTGCCCGCCCACACCTGAGCCCCCGCCTCGCCGCTGCGGACCCGGTGCGCGTGCGCAAAGGAGTGCAGCGCCTGAAGCTGAGCGCGCGTGCGCCGGGGTGATTGTACGGGACCGGGCGCGCGTGCGCGGAGGTGAGCGGGCCGCGGGTAACGGGCCCGGGACTGAGCCCGGTCCCAGCGAGGGGTCAGGGCGGTCTGCTGCACCCTCCTTGTCGGGTCCGGGCAGTCGTGAGGCCCGCAAGGGGGAGGGATCGATGGATCGAGGGATGGGTCGTCAGTGATTTCCCATTGGAGAAGCTGGGCACGCCGTGCTAGGGTCCACGGGTGGCGGGGGCAGTAGTAACGACTGGGACCCCGGAAGCCGCACGGTCCTCATTCAGTCTCACGGTGCCAGACCAGGGAGATTGCACTGGTCCATTTCACGGGGAGGAAACTGAGGCACGGGCGAATCCTTGCTTGCCCCTCGAGTGGTGGAGCTGGACTTTGAACTGGCTGATCTACACTGCCACCCCGGCCGGGGAAGTCTGGGTCACTTCCCTAAAAGCCGTGACCGGCTTCTGGAGAGCAGCTGCCTAATCCCTTTTTCCTCTACATTGCCCGCGCCTGCGCGCGCGCGCACGCGCACACACACACACACACACACACACACGCACGCGCGGCTTGCCCCATCTCTGGGACCCTTCCCAGCTATACAATGGAAGCCGCGGGACGGCTGTGGCACTAGTCTCGCCCGAGCTCCGCACTGTAGCTTCTGAACTCTGGGTGGGGAGGGAGGGCGTTGCCTAAGAGCCCCTGACTGAGGACCCTGCTGACACCCTGAATCCCCTAGTTTCTGAGTTGTCTTGATCACAGCTCTCAGATGTGTCTGGAAGGGTCAGGTGGGGCTGGGATACCTTGTGATAGAAAAAATAAATATTCAGTCTTTGTCCCCCACTTCCAAGCCCCTGGTGTCTTGGGAGTGATGGGTGTCTTATATGCTAATGAGATGACGGGTGGCTTGGGGCTGGTCCCCAGAAAGACAAGCTGGGCTCAGGGTGGGAACTTTCACCCCCAACTTCTGGGGAGCTGAGAGAGCCAGTGATGAACCACTCAGGCCTGCAGAACGAAACCCCGAACTACTTGGGGCTCAGAGAGCTTGCAGGCTGGGGAGCACAGTGTGATGCCCCCGGGAGGCTCTGTGCCCCTCCTCCATACCTCACCACCCGGAGGTTCCTGGGTTGTACCCTTTATAGCAAACCCGGGCTCTGCGACTTGTCCTAGCCAGTAGTGAGCCTGAGGAGGTTGGAGGCTGTGAACCCTTGAATTTCTAGCTGGTTGGTCAGGGGTGCAGTGACCACCAACGACATAGGGCCACCGTCTGCGTGGGGGTGGCTGTGCTGTCTCTGCATTTCGGCGTCAGAACAGAAGGGAAGGGAAGGGACGATGCTGGCTGGGCAGCTGCACTTTGAAACCCACCACTGTCCTGAGACAGGTGACTTCTGGCCAGTCACACTAGAGCAAGCCATGTCCCGGAGCCCCAGGCCCCCTGACGGCCCCTGGCCCCCCTGAGCCAGGGGCCCTGCCCAACTCTGCTCAGCCTGCACGGCAGTCTGGGACACTGGGGCCGAGCCACCATCCCAGCCTCCCCAGCAATTCCCCATTTTCTCAGACAGACAGAAGGGACTCCCCTCCCAGAGTCCCTGACTGCTTAGTCCCACGCTGGTGTCTCTGCTCCTCGGAGGAGCTAGACCAGCACTGGTTCTTACAAAATATTTAGAACATACAGATAAGCCAAAAAAGTGAGGTTCTGGTGCGCCTGCTGTGACAGGCTCCCCCAGCCAAACCGGGGTGCCCCGAGCCCGACCTCTGGCTGGCAGGGGCTCTGGGGGCCGGGCCTTCCTCCTGGGCCTGCGCCAAACCTGGGTGTGTTGTTCTGGCTGCAGTGCCGGACACTTCAGTCCAGGCGGTAACCCCGTGCAGGTCAGCAGGACGCGGGCGGGGGGGGTGGCGGGTGCCCTTAAGGACACCCCATTAGTCACAACTTAATAACCTCGGAGCTGACGCAGGAGCAGGCTGCTGTCCGCTGTGGGGACCAGCTCCTTTCACTTGTCTCTCTGCCGTGCGGGTCTTCTCCTGCCAGCAAGGCACGTTCACAGACCTTCGTTTGTCACGGTCCCCAGTGTCCTGCAACCCTGTTTGGGACTTACCTCCCCTTTCCCACCTCTCCCGCGTCTGTCTGAATGGCACTGGCCCATCCTGGGCCGCCCGCCCCCTCAGCAGACCAGACCTCTGGGCCGCCACGTGCTGGGGTCACGTCTGGAAGCCTCTCTGAGGGCTCCGAGGCCTGGCTGCTCCTCCCTCCCCTGTTGAGCCTGGTCCTCTCTTCACAGGCCGGGGGCACTGGTCCCTACCCGCACCGTGGAAACCATGGACCGAAGGCAGCCACCCTGCTCCCGCCCCCTGCTGGGGGCCTGCGCCCTCCTCTGCTTGGCCACCGCTGTCCTCCTGGGGCACATCCTGCTTCACGATTTGGCGGCGATGCCCCAAGAACTGCGCAGCCTCTCTCTGGAACCCAAGGAGAAGTTCGGAGCTCATCAGCAGGGGGCCAGCGGCCCGGGGCCCCGCCCCCGCCCCGGAGCAGCGCCCGCACCATGCAGCGTGCCCCTCAACAGCCGCTTCGACTGTGCCCCTGACAGGGCCATCACCCGGGAGCAGTGTGAGGCCCGGGGCTGCTGCTACGTGCCCGTGGGGCCGCCCCGGGGCTCCCAGATGGGGCCGCCCTGGTGCTTCTTCCCCACCAGCTACCCGAGCTACAGGCTGGGGAACCTCACCACCACGGACACGGGCTACACGGCCAGCCTGGCCCGCGCCACCCCGACCTTCTTCCCCAAGGACATCCTGAGCTTGCGGCTGGACGTGCTGCTGGAGACCGAGAGCCGTCTCCACTTCACGGTGGGCAGGCCGGGCGGGGCGGGGCCCATGCGGGGACGGAATGGTCGGACCGGGCTCCACGGGGGTCTGGTCACTGTGCAGAGTGTGTCCTGCCCCCTGGGGGAGTCCTGGTGTGAACAGACACAGCGCCCACCCTCAGGAAGCAGGGGCTGCCAGGACAGTGAAGGGCAAAGGGACATTCCAGGCGGGGGGTAGGCAGCATCGTGGCCCCTGGCACACAGCCTGGTGCCGGGCAGGGGCACTGCTGCCCAAACACATGTGCGGGTACAGAGCGGAGGGCTGAGGCCTCGTTCAGAGGGCCCTGTTGTCTCAACGGCGCTTAAAACGCCACTGTTCACCATGTGGTCACTGCGCACGAGACAAGAGCCGGGGCCCCGGGCTCTCCCATTCGCCTGTGACGGGACGAATGGCGTCCCCGGGTTCAGCAGAGGCGGAAATACAGGATGTGTGGTGAACGGGCCAGATAGCCAGGGACCGAGTCCATGCTTTCAGTGACGGTCCCACGTGACCTCTAAAAAACTTACCCTAAAAAAGAGACACACTTACCCTAAAAAAACTTGTTTCTCTGAACCTTGGGTTCCATGGCACCCTGCACTTGACCTGCCACCGCAGCGGGTGTGCCGCTGGCTCTGGAGGTGAGGAAACTGAGGCTCAGGGAGGGTGGCCCGGCCCTGCTGGGACTGAACGGACCCCTGCTCCCCGGGGTGTAGGATGGAGTGGGCAGGTGCAGAGACAGCTGCCGGCCCAGCAACAGCCTCATGACGCCACTGCCCTTGTCTAGATCAAAGACCCCGCCAGCAGGCGCTACGAGGTACCCATGGAGACCCCGCGTGTCCGCAGCCGGGCGCCATCCACACTGTACAGCGTGGAGTTCTCCGAGGAGCC